TGAAGTCGTTAGTGAAGTCATTAGTGAAGTCATTTATGTGTCAGACGGTTTTGTAAATATTTAAGGTTAAGTTGGGTAAGGTGGAACGCAGTGCCGCCGTACCCAAGTTAACCATACTAACTTGTGTGTCAAACCGTCAGTCATATTGTCACTCAAATTGTCAGTCATATTCTAACTAAAAAGCTAATTCATAGTGTCTGTCAAACCGAAGTCATATTGTCACTCAAACTCTCAATCATACACTCACTCAAATCAACAGTCATATTGTCAGTCAAACTGTCAGTCATATTGTCACTCAAACTGTCAGTCTTATTCTAACTAAAAAGCTAATTCATAGTGTCTGTCAAACCGAAGTCATATTGTCACTCAAATTGTCAGTCATACACTCACTCAAATCAACAGTCATATTGTCACCCAAACTGTCAGTCTTATTCTCACTAAAACCTTAAGTCATAGAGGCTGTCAAACCGTCAGTCATATTGTCACTCAAACTGTCAGTCTTATTCTAACTAAAAAGCTAATTCATAGTGTCTGTCAAACCGAAGTCATATTGTCAGTCAAACTGTCAGTCTTATTCTAACTAAAACCGTAAGTCATAGTGTGCGTCAAACCGTCAGTCATATTGTCAGTCAAACTATCAGTCTTATCCTAACTAAAAAGCTAATTCATAGTGTGTGTCAAACCGTCAGTCATATTGTCAGTCAAACTGTCAGTCTTATTCTAACTAAAACCGTAAGTCATAGTGTCTGTCAAACCGTCAGTCATATTGTCAGTCAAACCGTCAGTCTTATTCTAACTAAAACCGTAAGTCATGGTGTGGTCAAACCGTCAGTCATATTGTCAGTCAAACTATCAGTCTTACTCTCAATAAAAAGCTAATTCATAGTGTGTGTCAAACCGTCAGTCATATTGTCAGTCAAACTATCAGTCTTATTCTCACTAAAACCATCAGTCATACACTCTCTTAAACTATGAGTCATATTGTCACTCAAACTCTCAATCATACACTCACTCAAATCAACAGTCATATTGTCAGTCAAACTGTCAGTCATATTGTCACTTAAACTGTCAGTCTTATTCTAACTAAAACCGTAAGTCAAAGTGTCTGTCAAACCGTCAGTCATATTCTCAGTCATACTGTAGTTCATACTATCACCCAAACTGTTGTTCATACTGTCACTCAAACTCTAAGTCATATTGTCAGTCAAACTGTGAGTCATATTCTCTCTCAAACCTTGAGTTATACTGACAACCAAACCCTCATTCAAAATGTCACTCAAACTGTCAGTTATATTCCTAGACACATTCAAACTTTCAGGCATATTGTCAGCCAGATACTCAGTTATAGAGTCACTTTTTTGTCATTAATGAATTCAGTTATAGATTCAAACATACATTCGGTCCAATATTGGATCATGCAGTTAATTCTACATTTTTTAACTTGTAAGTCATTATTTATGAAAATATTTAAAATAGTGTAATTGCACAATGATGTGCAGTATTATCTTTAATATTAATATTGTAATATGATATTAGATTTTATCATATGAGATATTAATATTGATTTATGGATTACTGCACAATGATGTGCAGTATTATCTTTAATATTAATATTGTAATATGCAATGTTATATTCTAATTTGAATGTTCCTTTTTAACCTCATGATTTCTTCTCACTGATCTGCCTTTTTATGCAGCATTTTGTATTTAATCTCTCTTATCCTTTAGATTCTCTATGCTTTCCATCTTTCTAAACCAGATTCCATTGTTAATTCTTAAATTAACACAAATCTTAAATTTCATATTAGTCATTGCTCTGAAGTTATTGAAACATCTGACGTCTTTAGATTATCTTATCTAATATTAAAATGATTGATCTATTTACATTTTTAAAATAGTCCTAAAAAGTCTCAATATTTATAAAAGCATAATAAAATTAAATTTTTTAATATCATTTTGTAAATTATTCGTTTACTTTATGGCATAGTCTTGAAAAAGTATCAAAAAACATTATATTAATGGTCTCTAAAGAGGTTAAGTAGCATACACACAGATATGCTAATGTGGTAAAAAGAGATTTATTGCAAAAAGTCCAAAATAGTATATTTATTATCAAGATTCGCGTGGAAACGTACGAGTTTGGGACGAATAACTAACATTCTTAAACATTTAGTAATACTCTGATAAGTACAAGTCCTTAGATGCGACATATGGCTTCTTTTGTTCTAACTTACCAAATTCAAGAACTCAAGTTGGCAGTAACTCTGTACTAAACATACTCTAAGAGCTTGTCATTATTCCGTGTATGACAAATCATACTTTAATGTTTTACTCGTTGAATAAAGAATGCTTGATTTTGAAATCGAATGTTTTTGCTTAAATAGTTCCAGATTCTTGAACTAGGGACGGAATTAGAGGACACGTCTTTGCTGGTTAGTCGCGTGCTTGATGACAATATGCTACAATTATAATAAACGTACAAAAGGGACGAAAATTGAGAGCTTGTAACTTTCAACCATACACCAAGCGATTTTTTTATCTCTATACCGATGGGAACAATAAGTGACTAAATCCATATTGTAATAGAGCTGCAGAATTGAGCTCCATTTATCAAATGCTTATAATATCAAAATAAACTTTACAAACGCAAGAAATAAAGATGTTTAAACACGACCACCAATTTATCCATCATAGTATAGCAATTTATATATACAATTTCTTTTTATTATCATAGCAATTTCTTGATTATTGTTATTGATTGAATAAGAATTAGTTTTTTTACTTTTTAAATATGTTTTTTAAAAGTTACTTAGTTATTTTTATATAGTATGCTAGTTATAACCTCAATAAATAATCAATTAAAAATGAAAATTTTAATTAGCTTTAGATTTGCCACTAGTATATTTTAACATTTTTCCTAAATGTTAGTCACCGTTACGGTTTTTTCTTTGGGGGCGAGCTTGCGAGCCCCCAAAGAAAAAACCGTAACGGTGAGCTCACATTTCGGCATAGTTTAAGTCTAGGTTTTGCATTTTAAAATGTTTGTTACCTTATCTTCTTTCAAAAAGTGGCAAAAATTTGTTTGAAATTTGAAAAAGATATTTTTATTTGCATAAATGACATTCAACTAAGCTGTAGCATGATTCTTTTGCATGCTCTAGTTTTTTTCTCAGTTCAATCTCCTTCCATACTCTTGCTTGTACCAGTAAGATCGCACCAAAATTCTCAAAAATTAAGATCTCCAAATTTTATGTCCAACTCCAATTATCAAACGCCCTCATTAACGCCACTCATAGCCATCTTTCATGCATGAGAAATCGTTATTAGAAGATTTTTTACGGCTAATTATCTGATTCAATTCAGATCAATACTCAAAGCCCCATTATTTATTTATAAATCCTTGTTTGTCGCCTATGCGAATAAAAATTCTTTTTATATTTTAAACAATTTTTTTCACTTTGGAAGGAGAAAGGTGACTAACATTTTAAAAATGCAAAAACCGACTAAACTATTTGAAAATTTTTATATTTTTTTTTCAAGTTTTTATTAAAACAATAGAGATTTAAGTATATATCCTCTAAAGTAAGTGTTAATAGTATAAAATTAGGTAAAATTTGATCTAATATGAGTAAAAATGTAAAAAAGCACTCACTCATTTTGCATGTAAAGGAATAATCAGAGTTATCCAATAACATTTTACGTATTAAATTATGGAATTACTATATCTTTTGAACAATTTTCAACGTAATTAGCAGATTGTTCTAAGAATGATGTACATTGATCATGTATTAAAGTATCTTAATAAAAATGCAGTAATATACAATGATGATCAAAGCAGATTTGAATCAGAAAGAAGATTTGCTTAAAAAATGAGTTGAGTCTTCTCTAGTTTTCATATTGCCTATTCCTGTTTAAATGCGGTTATTCCTATTCCTGTTTTTGGTGCTTTACCATGATAACCAAATTGATTTGGCTATCATAGAAAAGAGACCATTATCATTCTTAGAATTAAGTATGATTAGGGCTGGTTTATTGGAATAAGGAAGTTTATAATACGTGAACACTTGTTTCTTCATCGAAAAGTCATTACGCATAAAGTCGATGTTTCCTTAGTACAAAAAGTGACATTTGACGCATACCTCTTTATTCCAGATAATGACCATATTTATGGGATTAAAAAGTTTAGGAAGCTTCTCCCCATTAATAAAGACTCTTATTTTCATACTATACTTGAAATCGTTGAGAAACATATTTCACACACTTTGTATGTATATTGAATTAATTCAGATATGGTGATACTGTTAATTCGAAAATGGAAAGATATTCAAAAATAAACTAAGATTATTTCCAAATGAATTTTAAAAATTAGCCTTTTTAAGGCTTATTGTGCGTACTCTATCAAATATATCCTTTTTCCAATCTACAAAAGGTTGAATTATCTTTGAACAAAAATTTCTAATTTACTAATAGAGCATGGAGTTGATATCAATTATAAAAACAAAGATAATACTCCAATCCATATTGCTAATAAGTTCTTCTGATGTTTTTCATTTAATGCGAGACTTCAGAAGAACTTTGTGCTATTCGAAAAAAATTACATTTCCTACACTCCAGAGAGTCTTAGGCTCCAAGTATGATACCTTAGGATAGAATCCTTCCGATGCCTCCCATCAAATGAGATACTTCGGAAAGATTCTATCCTATTCGATCAATTACAGAATTCCCAGCCATTTAGTGACCAGGCAAATTTCATCCGATACCTCTCATTCAGTGGGAGACTTAATTAACTAAGGATTACACGTTGAGTACATTGGGATGAAGTACTTCTGAGTACTTATATATGATAATTCTAAATTTTTATAAAGGTATTGTATTAAAAAACATGATTTAGATTTTTAAGAGAGAAATAGTATTTTTTAACATAATCACAATAAAAATAATTTGAGAAAAAAATAAAAGAAGGAGTAATAAACAAAATAAAAATTAAATAAATAAAAAAATCATCTATGTCCAAGAGGTGAAAACAGAGCGATTGGAACTCTATACTTCTCCATTAAAGTTCTTTGCAAAGCACCAACGAACATGAATCCATCCTTGCAGAATTTCTTATCTATCTTCAAATCTGGATCATCAGGATTCGACATGCAGTACAAAAATCTGATTTTCTGTCTTGCGAAAATGAGTTTCATGTCAGCGAAAGCATGTCTAATTATAGAACCAGGAATGAACATGAAGAATGTCGAAGGATACTTGTACATGAGATTACTGATTACGTCAGGCAACTCAACTAAATCAGCCAATGTGAATATAACCAATGACGCGTCTTTTATCTGTTCATTTGGTCCTTTTTCGTCTGGAATATCAACGAAATGGCAGAAATCGAATTTTTCTGAGTAAATCTGATTCGATTTGTTACTTGAAAACAGAGGGAAAGGCATCGGAACTCTTCTTCCACTTGTAACAATAGACTGAATAACAGGAAGTCCGACACCCAACGCGTTCAATGTTGTCCTGCAAATGTCGACACTCCTTGCAATTCCGTCGTTATGCAACTGTTCCGGATTTTCGCTGTATCTGAATGCGTATGCGTGTGGATAACTCGTCAAAGGAACTTTGTGGAGAACCAAACGAGTGAAAGACTGTGCTCTTACAACGAATGTTTCTGGGAAGAAGAACTCAACAGGGAGAGCGGCCAACTCGAATCCGAGAATGAAAACTAATGGGAAACCTGGATCTAACGTTGTCAATGCTCCTTTGATTTGACTTGATCTGAAAAATGATTCATCGCCAAGAGAGTTTTCATCAGGAATATTAAGAGATTTAACACCGAATATCTCTTGGTTTGTGAGCAAATTACCAAACAATCTCAAGCAGTCTTCTTTGTAATCTTCGACTTTCTTCGGTAACAAGTTTTTGTTCTTCTTATCGATGAATATGAAATTCGATGTTTGTTCCAACAATTTTGTGCTGAAAATGGAAGAACTCGCTTGAAACAAAATTTGTTCTCCATTTGCTTTGATGTTAAACTGTTCAACATTTTCTGCAGAACAAACAGGAACCAATCGGACATCGCCTGTGAAAGGAATGTAAATGGCGATGTTGTTGAACAATCTTGAAATGAAGATCATTCGCTTCAAACATTGTTGGTGTCTCAAACAAACAGAGAAACTGGAATCAACAGGATTAAATGATTCACTTTCATGGCGCTGTGATTCCGCGTATTTCTCCATTTGAAGACAAATGTTTCTGTTCCTTTTGTGGAGTTCATCTTCTGTTATCTTTTGTGTTTCAAACTGTCTGATGTTTGCATTGATGATTCTGAAATATTCCCTGTATCCGCGTTTCTTCTGCAATGTTGAGTTTTCTTTGTTCATTTCCAATGCACCAATTTCCTTCAAAACATCGGTGAAATCAGGAACTTTCGGGTTTTCTAGTTCGAGGATTCCATTGTCCATGTCCACACTTGGCGCGAAAGGATGTTTTGTCTCCATTGTCGCATTGGATTGGTTCATATGGATCAAACTCAAAACATTTGACAAAAGATCGAAAGCTACCAAATGAGAGTTGATGAATTCCGTTGGGAACTTAAGTAATGAATCGCACATCAATGTCAGGATATCTCTAAACATCTGCATTGTTGAGAACGTGAGATGTCTTGGTGCAAAGATTTGTCCATTTGCAAAATGTTTCGTGAGATTTGCCCAGGCGAATTCGTAGTAAGTTTTCGCTTTTTCGAAATCCTTCATCATGATGTTGTATCTGCAGTTCAATATCTGTGAGTAAATGATGAAGACGGGGTTCATCAATCTCGATGTATTTCTGTCAACACTTTTTAAAACAATTCCGACTTCGTCCAAAAGATTTTCTTTGTTTATGGAAATTATCGATTTCGGAATTTCCAATGATTTGTTGGCAGCAATTGTTGGTGTAATCAAATATGTCATGTACCCAATTTCTATCTGCATGTTCTGCTTCTCTGGCAAATGAAAGAAAAACCGTAAAAGTGCATCAACATATAAAAGTGACACTTCGGCACTTTTCTTAATTTTTCCCACTTTATCGAAACATTGTCTCGCCATTGACAAACTCGATAGGCATTCACTGACGAGTTCATCAATTGGCCACACTCTTTTATCGTCAATGTATTTAGCGACTTTTGCCATTTTCGTTGACGATCTCAAGAAGAGATTTATTGGTTTCTGATTTGATAAACAAGTGTGAGCGGCCAAAAGGAAATTCTTTCCTCGGAGGTAATATCCTTCTCCAAGTTCTCTCAGTGAATTCCTTTGCGATGTGAGGATCATCACTTCACTCCAGAATATTCCCTCTTTGAAAGAATCACGTTCTGAATAAGCTCTTGCCAACATTCTTACTAAAGCGGCTCTTGAATCAAATGCTGCACCGGAATCAATGGAAATTGCACGGCCTGTGACACGTCTTTCGCCTGTATCTAACTGTGGAAGATTCTGTATGAACTCGTGGAACTTGTTCTGTTTCAAAAACAGTTTGGATCTCAAAAATGAAGTCATTTTGTTCATGATTGAGCCGCATTTATCTGTGATTGAGTCTAACAATGAATGTGCTTGCGGAAACATGCGGCAGGAAAGCATGAACTCAACAGCTTGACAGCCAATCAGCACAGTATTGATAGATTTCGGATCAGGAATGAATTCATTGGTGTCACTTTTTTGTTGAGGGGGAGCAAATTGAGCTGTTTTTGTTCTTGGCTGCCTCATTGAGCCTGCTTGGTTGATTCCTGAGAGATCTCGTGCAAGGGACGTTCTCAAAGTGGAATTGATGCAGTAAGTGTTCTTAATTAAGTAAGATAATAAAGATATAGCGTTGGAATCAAGGCCATTGTCGGAGTAGATGGAGGAAATGGTTTTGCCGAGGTAGAGGGCTTGGTCGCATGACTTTTCTTCGATTAAAGCTTTGATGGCTTCGGTATAATGGAAAACGGCTCGGACAAGGTCGCTGTTTCTATGGCAGACTTGGGCAATTGCGGATGCTGATGATGCATCTTTGATATTTGATCTGAAAAAGTTATCAAAGGCAAGAACAGCGTGGAAATATCGATCTGTTCTCTCTAATTGTTCGGCAAAGAACAATGTAGCGTGGCGAACTGACTCTGCATTAATCAGTTGTGGTAGTATGGATGTAATAATCGATAATGCTTCGAAGCAAAGGTTACATGAGTGATTTGGATTTGAATCTGCGATGCTGAGTGCCGTAGCGAATGCGATTTTGAATGCTATGTAAGGCGCGAATTCTTCTTGAGTGTAGAGTTGAAATAGCTTTGAAGAGCGAAAAAGTTTATCTGTTGCTGGATGTTTGTATTTTTCGCCATCGATCATTCCGGCGAATCTCTTACCAGTAAGAGGTGAACGGCCATCGAGGACAAACTCAAGATCTGCAAGAGCAAGCGCCTGAATCATTTTTGAAGATCTATCAAGGTGATCCGCTGGCATTTTGCGCTTTGTCTTGAGTGGCCCGACTGTCTGGAACTCCCACTCCTCAATGTTAATCATTCCGAGGAATATTGGGACTGTTTCGAGAATTTGTTGAGAATTCGAGTTTACGAAGCCCGTATGAGCATTAAATTCCGCCTCGATGAGCGATGGGTACAAGCAGCCACGTTTTATTGCTGTCATTGACCTCGCATTGACGTTTTCTAATGTTGGATAATATAATGGGAAGAAAGACGCGATTTCTGTTGAAGGAAGTAATCCGAGAATTTTTGAAAGGTCGTCTAGATGATCGAATAATGAAATTAAGTAAAGTTCGTCGTATTCTTTTAATTTAGGGGTTTCGTCGTCCCCGATTTGCGCATTGAATAGCGGCTGTGATTGGTAACTGTGGGAAGTCTGTTTTGGCTTCGTTGTGTCTTGAGCAAACATTGGCATTGTTTTGTCCCTTTGATTTAACAGCCAAGTTGAGAAAGGCTGAGGTCCGAGCGAATCAGAACCATCAGGAAGTAAATATACGAGTGTGCAAGGAGGCTGGTTGACCGAAACCTTTTCTATTTTTTGTACAGCGGAGATAGAATCTAATTGGTTAATAATAGTATCATCGATAAAAACTTGAAATGTAGGGGCTTGTTTCTTATCAGCAATAGCCTTCAAATCATTGAAAAACGAGTCGCTGTCTTCGTCTTCGTCTTGTTTTGAAAGCAAAGCTTTTTGTTGCTCCATAACTTGGTTGGCGATTGGGTCTATACCAACAAGGCTATGGATGACGGACTCAAGGATAGGATGCTTAGGGAAAAGTTGAATTAATGTTTTTGTTAATTTTTCGATGACTTTTTTAATTGTAAAATCCGGATATAAATGACAAACTGGAGCGAAGCTGGGAAACTTAATGAATTCTTCGAGACAGTTTAATAAATGGAAAGCGCTAATGCCTTTATCTGAACAATCCGACAATAAATAATTCAATAACGCTGATACGCGATAGTCTAACTTGCACTTCGTATATTTGTCAAGCGATATACTTTTATCTTTTGTAAATTTAATTAAATCGATCTGACACAGAATATTGTCATCGTAGGCGTCGCTGTCCATGATAAGCGCATTGGATTTACCAGTAGCATAAAGATTAATGGGCTTTGTGAGTTCTGTAGTCGCTTGAGTTTCGGGAATTAAATAAATTTGATCTATCTCGGGTTGTGATTTGGGATAATTCGAATATAAGCCAACAATTGATGTAATTCGGTTAGATGCATCTGTGAAGCTCTCTACTTTGTTTTTTACGATGGCTTTTTCTTGAGTTGGATTTATATTTGTTTTTAAATTGGAGTTAGCAACTAGTTTTAACGAAGGCCCATCGTCAAAGTCGGAAGAAAAGAAATTTCCGTCTGACTCTTCGTCCCCGTTCACTGCCGGTAATGTATCTACCTTAAGTCCGAGGACAATCTTTGGGCGCATTGAACTTTCACAAAAAGTGATATAACGTAATTATCAAAATGCCGTTTTAATGCGGTATCTATGCTCTATATGCTTATATGTTACTAGTTTTATAAAAATAATAGATCGGCTAAATAAAATTTTAGTTTTTCTGACAAATTCAGCAGACTCATCGAAACTTTTCATTGAATTTTTATTTTTTTAGAACTCAATTTTCTGAATACGAATGAATAATAATGGATAAAAGAATGGAATGAATAGAATTGAGATAGTTATTTCAATTATTTTTCATTCTCATTTTCTTCCAAAGATAAAATTTTGTCAACAATGCCTAAAATAGTATGTGCATCATTAATCCTTACGATTTGATGTGTTTTTGGTCGATCAAATGTAAAACTTGAAATTGGCTGGTTTTATTGCCTGATACGACTTTCTATATTTGTTGGATAATTTCTGATTATCATGTTTTTATATTCGCCGAACATGATATAAATTTGTAAAGTTAACAAAAAATGTCACTTTCTAAACAAATTCCACCTCTCAAAAATCAAGATTTTGATTAACTGAATAATTTATATTAAAATATCAAAAAGACTATAAAATAACCTTATTCTATACAAATATCGTCCACTTTAGAAGTTCATCGATCAATGGGTCATTTTGAGCTGAAAAAACTTATTTACTGCATCACAACACTTGTTACAATACCTACACTTCGTAGCTCTGAGCTGTATTAAACTTTTTTTCAAAGATCAATATCAAAAAATATATGAACTATACGATAAAAAACATATAAACAAGTATTTTAATTTTGTATATACAAAACAAACACAATAGCTGTAATCATAAATCTTCCATCATTTTATACATTCCTGCTAAACCAACTCCATCGAAATTGGGTGGTCCTTCTGATACTTTCTTTTTAGCTGTAGTTTTATGCTGAACTGCTTTCTTCTGAGGTTTTGCTGCATGATTTGAAACTTTTGGAGGAATTTTCGGAGTTGCTTTTGCTTTTGTCTTTAATGATCCGGATACAATTGTCCCTGCAGCAGACATAAGCGTGGATTTGTTCTCATCCGGGATTTTTTCAACTGAAATTTCTCCATCAAAATAAAGTTCAATGGTAAAATCAACATCTATCATTTCCTTTTTGCTTGTTGATACGCCTATACCTATTATATTGACTTTAGTACTATCAATATCATAAAAATCATCGCCATTTTCAGAACTGATCGGATAAGTATGAGAAAATGGTCCGGAAAGTGAACAACGACCTTTTGACGTTTGTGTTGCGAAGAATATTGTGTAAGATCCAGTTTTTGCTGTCTTTTTAATCTTAAATATTATTCTTCCGCTTTTGTTGACATTTATATACCATTGTGGAGAGTTTCTTGATGTCTTTGGAAGATGATGATGTATTACAGCAGATTTCATCATGTTTAGATCCAGTTCTTTTATTGGATTCAAGTCAAATTCAGTTTCGCATTCAATTCTGCAATAAATATGAACTGGATTCTTTTCAGGAACTTTCCTTGATATACAAATTGTATAAGGTTTATCAGGTACGGATGCTTTATTCTGTTGAATTATGGAAGATCCGTTCATTGCGTACTTAAATTCAACTTGTTCCAAAGGTTTATAACTGACTTTAGTTCCACAATTTTGGCACATGCAGAATCCAAGAACATTATTCGATTTTGAAGAAGCAATACAATATAATCTGAATAAACAGTTCTTTTTGTGGAATGTAGCTGTCCATTGAGGTAAAGGACCGACATAAGGACCATTTCCAGAAAAGAATCTTCCGTCATTTTCTCCTGGTTCGATATCAAACTCAAATGACTTCGAAGACCATCCATTAGGAGTAAATATTCCATATGACAAACTTTCAAAACAAGTAGAGATTAAAGATTCATGAACTAATAAATGGCCATTTTTGTCGGAAATTATCATTTTCTTATTTTTACTTTCTGTAGCGCCAATTCCATGTGGATCTTGCAAATGAATGTATTTAGATCCATTGACTACTTCTATTGATAACAATGCATAGCTGTGATTCGAAAATAATTGATGTTTTTCTGGAACTTGAGTTTTGAACGTTGAAAGAAAAACAAACTCGGTTTCTTTCAAAATACTATCCAAATGAGGTATAATATTCTTAACCTCGGATAATTTTTGAAATTGGTTATAAATTCCAAAAATATTATTCATTGCATCGGCTGGATTTCCGCCTACCTTTTTCCATCCGCCAGCGAGCTTTGCATAAGCTTTCTCAACTAAGCAAAACCAAATTGAATCGGATTTCGATCTTGGATGCGCAAATTTAGGACAATTGTCCACAAAAGGAACAGTTGTATCAATTATTACATAGTATGGTTTGCCAATAAAAGAGAATTTCAAGCAACAGCAGCCAGTAGAAATGTCTGGATCAACAAAAATAGATTTAATCATATCTGGATGCTTTGAAAGGTGTAATAAAATAGAAATAAGAAAACAATCTTGGTAATTTCCTTGAAAAATACTATCTGAAGAAATATTTGATAAAAAATCAGGATTGTATACGTTTTCTAAGTACTCAAGCTTTATAGAACCTGATGAATTCCCATCATTGAAAACATCTCCTGAAGGTAGTGAGTTATCAAAATCTTTATCAACAAACTTAAGATTATTCTGCTTACAATCTTGCTGAATTGCATGATACTTGGAAATAACTTCATCGGCTATCATTGTTTGTTCCAGTAAAAATTGATAAGGATATTGACCAATCATGGAAAAACAAAAATAAAAGTCGTAAATCTTCAAAATCTATCTTAGAATTATCGATAGAGAGTTCTTGATTTCGTATTTCTGTTTTAATGTCAGATATATTTTGCTAATTTGATTTACGATTCTGTTACAGTCTTCTTGCAGGTGAATCTAGTTTATTTATCTGTTTCCGGCATTGTAATATATGCAGATAATTCTAAACTCCTTTTTTTATTTAGGTACCCTATTCAATTTCTATCGTCACCATATCATAAAACATTAAGTTTGGACTTACTAAGACATGTAAGAATTACCTTGCTTGTATAGGGGCATTAAATACTTTTAGATGCTAAAATCTTCAAAATTAATTTAATTTGATATTCAAAATATGCACGAAAACGTAAATAAATACGGATCTAGCTCTCACATATCTCTATTTTAAGCATTGATAAGTATTTCTACATTCTATTTTAAAAAATATTCAAATTTCACAATATTCTTTTCATTGATAATCTACATATTAACGAGAATGATATAACTTTTCATGTGTTTAGAAGTTCTTAGCTTTAGTACTGTATTGTTGAAAAAATTATTGAAGACTTTTTTCTTTTTGAGAAATTAATGCAATAACCAAAGAGGAATTGCATATGCTGCGCACTAAAATTATAGAAATGTCTCTAATTAGACACAAATAGAGATATTCGGAAATAAAAATTTGAAATTTTGATCAAAAACGCTATTTTCTAATCATTTTTATTTTAACTATATATAAAGTATCTTTTTCTATAATTTATACTTGATGGTTTAAAAGACGTTTAGACTCAAAATTTTACTGCATTTCATGTGGTAACTATGCTTTATCACTAACTACCTCCTTGTTTCAACCCTGAACAATATATTATACCTCCCAATGCAGGTATTACTCCAACAAAATTAGCAATTTGGCTATTGTCTAAAATTTTCTCAAAGAAAGAGGAGTAAAGTCCCATTTTTAGAATTCGAGCTATATTAGAATGCAACTTAGACAAAAGGTTACGGTTTCAATACACATATTCAAAAAATTTGCATTCGAAATTTAAGATAAAGTACAATTTCCCAAAAAGAGTATCGAATCAGTGCACAAATATGCATTTACATGCTTACACTAGCTTGCACTAGTATTAATAATTTTGAAATTAATTTTCAAATTATTCCCATACCTTTTGCAAAATTATTATGCTTATGATTCTAAGCATAGTTAAGCGATCTCGAATTTGAATTGCTAAGAAAAAATAATTAGTAAAAAATTTGTCTATGCATTCTGTATGATGCTACTAACTATATTAGCAGCATACCTAAAATCTTTTCAATATTTTTGAGGGAATTTGAATGGTACCGGTTGAGAGCTTTTTTAATTAAGGTACTATTTCGATAGAATTTGAATGGTACCCCTTCAATTTTGTGAGGGACCCCCTTTCATTTTTTGAATAGGGTACCTTAAATGAAAAAAGGACCTTATATAGAATCCAAAAATGCAGAGTTTTCAATTTTTAAATAATTTACAACATTTAATCGTCATCGGATTTCTTGAAAATCAACTTTTTGGACGGTTCCTCTTAAAATTATATATAGAGGACAAATTAAACACCTTATACAATAGTATTACTACTACCCTGAACATTTTCAGACCAAAATTTGGAAAACTCATGGACTTTGTTTTATGGAGTTTACGTATCGTCAGAGTAATCTTTAAAATTTATGATAAAAGTGACAAAATTTTAATGTCATCAAATTCCAATACTGATAACAACGAAGAGTTTGTTTGGTATGATTGTAGATTCGTTACTAACCCAGCCGTCCATGATTATTTATTGGATTCGCTCAGACCTAATTTTAAAGAATATTTAGATTACTTGAAAATTCATAGAAAATGTATATATATAAAGCCGATACCTTTCTTTGTATCTCTAAATCTTAACGATCCTGTTAATGTTATTGTTGCTCAATTAGTTAGAGAGGAATTAATTTGTACCGAAGGATTATTTTACTTTTATCTAAAAGTTCAAAATGTTGCATCTCATAAAACGATCTTTGATTTATTTTCACCACAAAATAGTACAAATTGCTTAAATGATTTTCCAATCATCATTATAAAGGTTATTCCTCGTAGAAAGAACGAATCATTCTTTATTGATAATTTGACACGTGCTAAGCACAATGTCCATAAAGTTTATGGTGCAATGGATGATATCAGAAATCATGACTATATGTTTTATCTATTCAAAGATATTCACTTAAAATACGAGTACTTTGATCTAATCGGGCTATTAACAGTAGGGAAAAACAAACGAGAGAGTATTCGTTCTTCTGAAATACGGAATGAGTCCGTAATTCCGCCATTACGAATTTTGGCATCGAAAGCATTCAAAAGAGCAACAGAATGGATCACACAAAAGTTGACAGATTTATCTAATGCATTAACTTATACTGAAAATAACTGAGCATCAGACTAAACACCAAAATAAAGAATGAATTTTAAAAATTTATTCACAAACACCAATCAATTCAAAGGGGAATTCATTTTAAACAGATCTATTATCGAAATGCAAATCATGATATATATATCTTGAACTAACCTTTCAATAAAATCATGATATTATTGATTACTTTCTAGTTTTTCACTATGATTTTTAAACATCTTCGCAAGGATATTGAACAATTGAATCTACTGTTTTACGGGCAAGCTTTCAATCCATCTTGTATTGTGATGAATTTGTAATTGTAATTTTCTCATTACCCAGAAAAGGTCTGTGTAGTTGAGAAGGCCGTCATAATCAATGGTAGTTGCTCTAATATTTTATGCTGAATATTCAGTACTTATTGATACAACTCATAGGAATATAAATTTGTCACTTTTCAATATTCTTCTTTCGAAAATATAAGCAAAAACATGGTCAAAATATTCGTTTTCTTTGTCCATTTTTGCTAAGTATAGTTATAATTGGATGTTTTATGAAACTAGACGTATATATAGATCTTAAATACAATATTTATGCAGTTAGACAAAATGTAAAAGTCGGAATCACTATAAAATATACATCAAGGTTTTTTTATACGTTGATCAAAAGAATGGATGATAAATTAACAGTGCCTACAAGTGGGTATTTGATGATGTTTGGAAATAATACGAAATTAAATCCAGAAACTCTTACAGCATTCATGCCAAATACAGACGAATATAAACAGATTGTTCATCATCGAGGTGAAATTGTCCTCTTTAAAGGCGCTTACGTCTCAGGATTTAATACAATTATTCAAGGAACAATTATTTTCAAGGTCAAAGACAGATTTAAAAGCTACAGATATGGAAACAAGCCAGGAAAGGTACTAGGACACTATACAGATGTTATTGCAATCGGTCATCATAACGAGAAAATTTATGGTCACTTTGTAATGGATGTAATGTCGCCAGTATTCTCTATTCCAGAAGATATAAGAAAAAGATCATATATAGTTATTCTTACAGGCTGTGAAAAATTTATTGGAATTTTGAAGTCAATCGGATTCGATGAAGACCGTGTTGTCGTTTTAGATTACAATGAATACGTATTTGCTACAAACTTATATACGTGTTGGAACCCAAGAGCCCACGGAGGATACTGGGGACCTCCATTATACAGATTGTCAAAGCATTTACAAGAATATTACAATACTACGAACTTGAAACCAACTTATATTGGTTTCCATAAGCGTGTTTCTGGATTTCGAGTTGTTGCTAACATATTTGAAATAATGGAGTTAGCAAAACAGAAATATCCTAATGAAAATATCGTAAAAATGACCGATTCATACGAATCATTCGCCTCCGCTGCAAAAATTTGGGCGGAAATGAAAATTGTTGTTGCTTCTGCAGGAAGTAACTTAATGAATGCGATGTACATGCATCCGCAAACATGTATTTTGCATATAGCTGCTAGAAATACGTTGAATTTCGCTATTACCGCTGAAATTATTACTTTTGAAATTTTCCAAGTAATGGTAACTCATCCAAAAATGACTCACCTTAGTTATGCCCAAGAACCAATTGATCCTGAAGAGGTTTTGAAGGCATTGGATGTTTGTTTTTATGTTATTCAAAACAAAAAATGGCCAGAAGTTAGTGATTATCACATAATTAGATAATATATTATTGTTTGTTTGTTAAATGTTTATGTATTATAGACTTACCCTGAAAATCTCAATTTTTCAAATCTCAAATTTCAAAATTCAAATTGAGTTGAATATATTTTAATGCAAGCATAGAGTCTAGTAGTATAAGCATTTGAAACAGGATTTTTGATATATTACTGATATAAAAGAAAATAAAAAATATGAAGAATCTTATTTTTATTTGAATGTGATTACGATGATGACAAACTTAAGTTGACAAAATGAAAAATAATATTAGTGATTTGTCGTGGAAACATGTATTGTGAATTTGTAAGAAATTGACCAATAAACTTTATAATGGAAGCTGTTTTTAGTAAATTTGTCTTTATATTGAACTAGAAATCATTCATCTATTACCATTTCTATGCTATAAGTGAAAATTCTAAAATTATATTTTTGAAATTTGAGTTTAAAGAAAAACTGTATTAAACGATAAAACACATATTTATTTTAATTAAATAACAAACAATTTTAATATAATTAGTAGACCCAGCCTTGATCTTTGAAAAATTCATAAATATTCTTTATGTCTTCTTCATATTCAGGTGACAATGCAATGGCATCTTTAAGTGTCAAGTTTTGATCAACAGAAAACTCACGAATTATCAAATCTTTCAAAGCCATGTATTTTGGAATAGGAATTCGATTGGTTTCTATGAACTGGTGTTCATCATTACTTAAATCATCAGGAAATGTATCAACCTGACGCTGTTCTAGCAATGAAATGTAATGATTCCAAATTTCTACTTCGGAAATCTCTCCGTTGTGCACGCATTTCTCTAAATTGTCGACAAGCTTGCCTTCTTGGAATGTTTTGACCCCTTCTGCAAGATATTTATGACAATTTTGAATTTGAGAGAAAATTGCTTCGCTTTGATGCATCTTATTGATATTATCTTTAAGATACTTCTTATCTAAGTAGGGCGCAAACAAAAACATCGTTTTATCTTTTGCCATTTGAGATTCTGTCATTCCTCCAAGATTTGGAGTATTATTTTCTATCAATTGAAAGTCTTCAAGCACTTTGGTACGGATTACACGCTCTTCTAAATGGTTATTGTATAGATTTAATTGATTAATTTTCTTTTTAAAGGAATTCTTATCGTCTGAGTAAGAAAATGTGAGGCCTGAGACAAGTTCTTCAGCATTATCGATGAATTCTTCGCCAAATTCGTGTCGCTTTGGCATATATCTGTTATGATTTGGTAATTCTGGATTAGAGCTTTGCGCTTCTGTAGTATATTCAGGAACAGGTGGTTTTGGAAATGTTTCTGGTATTTTATCTTCATCAGGAAATATAGCTAAAGGAGCTGTTTTTGATTTTAGATAAATATTAGTGTAATGTGTTTGAATATCAACAGGATCATGATTAGGAATTCGTTTCGCTATATCATTCCAGTTTCCTACGCCTAAACTATTTATACATCCTAATAATAAAGCTTCATCGTTTAAATCCCAATCTTTTGTAAAAACATTTGTTGTCTCTTTATTAACTGCAACATATGCAATAGAATTTTGTCTAGGACGATCCTTAAATTCTGTTAAAGGATATTTTGCGCTAAAACAATCGAGACAAACACTGATTTTTTTATCTTGCATAAAAACCATGTGACAGTCTTCATCTGTGAGATTTTTTCTACAATGAAAACAGTGCATGTAGTCATGAGTTTGCTTCTTTTTATCCATTTTAATTTTTTGTAAGGAAAATTATAGGAAAAATAAAAAGAAAAATTTTGGTTCCACCAGGAATCGAACCTGGATTTAGGGATTCAGAGTCCCCAGTGATAGCCATTACACTATGGAACCTTTACGAATTCCATCAAATAATTTTAATTATTAATATATAAAAAGTTAACCAAATAAATTTTTCCACGATCAAGAATATAAAGGTACAGTAACATCTTAAACTTAAAAAATACCTTAGGTAACTATATATATCTATACCTCCTATGTATTTTATCAAATTTAGATTTCTTAATGCTTATTTCTGTAGATAATTCATGTCGATAATATAAATCAAGATTGTATTTGCCGATTTCCTTCAAACTCAATATTCTACATAAACGTGCTATGTTTCATCTTCAGCAACAGTTTTAGGCCAAAATTTTGGTTGGAAGGAAATGAAATATACATTTAAGAATTCATTGGTACTTCCGGCCGTATAATCCTAAAATGTATTGAATGTAATGTAGTGGTGACTTTGTTATACAGATTAAAATCGTTCGATGGAACTTAGATAAGCTTTATTTACAGGGAAATTAATTTTTAATGGAAGAACTTCACGATGTTCAAATTTGAAATTTTAACAATCAAACATCGCGTTTGAAATGAATTAGAGAACAATTTCTCCAATTCCTAGAGAACCTTCTCTCTTCATGATATCATTCTTAGTTAATTTTTAAAAAAATGACTAATTCATATAGATGCAATTTTAGCAAAAATATAAATTACATACAAATACGATTGCAGTGATTAATCGGGTAACTTAATAAATGCAGCACGCGATCGAACTTGATATGAAATAAGAAGTTGTACTGTTTCTTTACTATTACAATTTTGTGCATAATTAAGAGCAGTTCTTCCTAAAATATCTTTTTCATTGATATCTGCACCACGTGAAAGAAAATATTTGCAAAGTGATGGAATTTCAAACAATGGGGAATAAGTAAAACATTGGTTAAAATCATTAGTTTGATCGAAATAAACTAAAAATGATTCAAGATTATTATAATTTCCACAATTCAATAAATTGATCGTTATATTGTATTCGTTCATCAAGAATGTAACAAAATCAATGTTGTGTGAAATAATTGCAAAATTCATGCATGCTTCACTTGGTGTTTGATATTTCAAACATTCACTCATGATCTCTTGATTTCCTCCTAAAAATGATAAATTTAGACACATATAAGTTATTTCTAAGTTAAATTTTGTTCTTAATAACTTGAAACAATCAACTGCTCCGTGGTAACAACATAATTCAAGTAATGAATATCCTTGATAAGAAGCTGGATATAAATCACTTTTAAGTTTTTGATTTTTATCAAAATCATCTCTTTCAGTGAAATAGATAAATTCTTCCTTGTCATTATACATAATTGCTCTGTAAATCGTTTTTTCTGAAAGAATATTGATATTTTTGAATTTAAATTTTTCGAAATCATCAGATTTGTCTAACATAATTCCATATTCTTGATAAAACAAGAATTTTGAAAGGGATAAAACTTTTTTGACCTCTTTAATGCCATATTCATCAGAAATGTGTTTGGCAAGAGATAAATATGACTTTGCATAGCGATTATTACATGGGATAAAATATTTTGAGGAAGATGTTTCTTGGATTCAATCAATTCTGTTTTGATCATTTTGTAAATTGAGTTCAAATCTTCTTCATTTTCAGTTTTCAGCTGATACAATGCATTATATGAATCTATATAATATTTATAGGTACTTCGCAATTCACTGTATGTATTTGGATGAACGTTTTGAACAGACATGGAAAAAATTTAAGGGTGCACACGAGAGGATCATGTAAACTTCAGAATTTAGAACCTTATTTTTAGGCATTATCTTGGCTACCTATTTAGGCTCGAAAAGCAAAAAATATCAAAAAATACAACTTGAGTCCATTATGACCCTTTCATGGCGGTAGTTTTTATCCGCTAGTATTTTCCCTTTGAATCTCTTTACAATTCGAAATCAAATTCAAAACTCAGTAGAAGAAAGGAAGAATCGACTTACTACGGTTGTAATACGAATAAATACATATATTTAATTATTTTTATTTACATAATAATTGTTTGAAGCTCATATTCCGTCAAATTTTTAAATAAAAACATTAAAATGTTGAAAATGTTCATATATTTTAATAGGGTTTTGGCACTTTATTGAGGAATTACTACATACATAGTCGAACTGAACTTGATATTTTGAAATTTAAATTATTTATCAAAATTAAAATTTAACTTGAAATTTATAATTATTTAGTCATATTTTGCATAATTCTAAGTAGATTTTGTAAAAAATCAAGAAAGAAAAATTTTAACGTGCTTTATTTTTTCTTTTTTATAATAATACATATTATTATATAATTAACATATTCATAATGTTTCACCCTTTCAAAAATATAATCCTCCTCCTCTCAAATAAACGTACATACGGGTGGCCTCTTTTTTCAAAAAATTAAAATTTGAAATTTTGGGCTCAAATATTAGAGATTTTTTCAACCTTCAACGATATATGTTGTCTATATCAGACCTCCTTTCTTTTTGATACTTAACATTGTTCCTAAATCTTAGCCGTTAAGGCTGTTCTGAAAATATTTTTTTTTCGAAAAAATTCGAAAAAAATTCTTAAAATTCAAAAATCCCTTAATTCCTGAGGATTTTGGAAAAAAGTTTTTACATGAACATGTGTATATTATATGAAGTATATTGATAAGGTAAAAATCAAATTTTATTGCATATTCATAAAATAAACTAACGAATCCCTCAAAATTGAGAGTGTAATCCTCCTCCTCTCAAATAAACGTACATACGGGTGCACCCTTAAAAATGCCAACAAAATAAATTCAAAAGTCAGTTGAATTTTTGAAAGATCAGTTAGAGTATATTGTTTCTGCATTATCTGATCATTGAAACGGAATCGATCTACGTGATGAGTATGAAACAATGATATACTAGGGACTAAAGAATATTAATATTGCAAAAATAAAATTATTCGATGTTCAACTCATCATATCTTGCATTAAAGTTGATACCTTTATTTTTTCAAAATATTACAATGGTATCAATCTTACGTATTGCCAATGATAGCCAAAATACTATTTTGGCATAATAAATTTAAAACGATATTAAAACAACAGTTTTCGTCCATAAGCAGACAATGACTTATAAAACCCAACAATACAGAGTATTCTATTTTTAAATGGTTTATTACATTTAATCGTCATCGTATTTCTTAAAAATCAGCTTTTTGGACAATTCTGCCTGATATTATCTTTTGAGGACAAATTAAATGCCTTATATAATAGTATTTCTACTATATTGAACATTTTCAGATCAAAATTTGAAAAACTCGTGAACTTTGTATTATATGGTTTACTTATCGTCAGAGTAAACTTTAAAATTTTCAATAAAAGTGACAAAAATTTAATGTCATCAAATTCCAATACTGATAACAACGACGAATATGTTTGGTATGATTGTAGATTCGTTACTAATCCAGCCGTCCATGATTATTTACTGGATTCACTCAGACCTAATTTTAAAGAATATTTAAAACCACTTTAATTTTCATAGAAAATCTGAATATCTAGACACTACACTTTTCTTCGTATCTCTACATCTTAACGATCCGATTAATGTTATTGTTGCTAAATTAATTGTAGAGGAAATTACGTGTGAACAAGGAATATTTTACTTTTATTTAAAAGTACAAAATGCTGTATATCATAAAACGATTCTTGATTTATTTTCACCACAAGATAATACAAATCATCTCAATGATTTTCCAATCAACATTGTGAAGATTATTCCTCGTAGAATGAAAGAATCATCCTTCATTGATAATTTGACATATGGCAAGTACTCTATCGATGTAATTTTTTCTGCAATGAATGATATCAGAAATCATGACTATATGTTTTATCTATTCAAAGATATTCACATAAAATCCGAGTACTTTAATCTAATCGGGCTATTAACAGTAGGGAAAAACAAACGAGAGAGTATTCGTTCTTCTGAAATATGGAGTGGGTCTGTAGATCCGCCATTACGGTATGTGGCGTCGAAAGCTTTCAAAAGTACAACTGAATGGTTCACACAAAAGTTGACAGCTATATCTAATGCATTAACTTATACTGAAAAACCTGAGCCTCAGACTAAACACCTAAAAAAAGAATGAATTTTTTTTTCAAATTTTTATTCAAAAACAAAAAAAAGGGGGAACTTCGTCGACAACAAAGGTATCGACCAAAATTGTTCCCATTATGCTTGGTATATGAAGTGTAGTAATAGTGTGTATGGACTCATAGAATGACTTTCGTTTGATTTCGAGATAAATTATGATCTTCTAAAATATCCATATTTTACTTCATAACGCATATGTTTTATCGTATTATGAAAATTAAACGAAAAAGATCAATCAAGACGAGCAAAATTCGATGTTTAAAAAGTACATGTGTTTTTTGATTAGGCTGCTTTCAGGTATTTTTTTTTCTTTTTTTTTTTGAAGTAACACTTTACTCATTTCTTCTTAAAATGAGACTCTGGTAATGGTAACTGTGTATGAGAGTTGGAGTATTGTTAAATTGCGCGAAATGTTGATAAGTTTGAAAAACGTTTTATAGTATGTTCAAATATATTAGAATTTGATAATATGCGATAAAATCGACTGCAAATAATCGATTTTAAGTGATCGATGAAAATCGATGTCAATATTTAAAATTTTCGAGAATTTTTTGACTGAAAGCAGTTGCTTTGGACACCTAGAATGAAGTTCTCCTTAGTGAATTTCTCCAAATTTTTACCATTTTAGAAAAAGCCTAAGCAATTTTCTAGAAAATGATTACGTTTTTTTAATTCATAAATTTTATGGAAAAATGAAGTTAAAAAATATGAAAATTTAAATTTTAGAGCAAAACAAAACATTTTGATTGTTTTCTAAATCGATAAGGCCTTTTCATTTTTATTATTTTATAATTTTTCTACTAAGATATGTCAATTCTACAGCGAATTAAATAATTATTTTTCAATGACATAGAGAAGAGGCATATTTTCCAAAATTATAATTCACCAATATTTTACTATCAAATATAGTATGCAATTCTATATAGATAACCAGCCATTGTTAGTAATATAAAATTATTTCTGGTTCAAATTAAGGATTGGCTTCACATAATTAGAAATAATAATAAGCATCTAGAAAGTAATCAATAACATCATGATTTTATTCACAGATGAGTTCAAGATATATATTGTGATTTGCATTTCGACAATAAATCTGAATAAAATGTGTATTAAACTCCCATATTTAGATATCTTAACATAATCATGTTATCAGTTAGTGACTATTGCTCCAGAACAAGCAAAATTAGATCTGTATCTCATAATCAAACGGAAGTTAAGGTAAGATATTTGAGGCAATATCACCTGATAGTATGCATAATACTATACCAGAGTGATTAGTCAATCCGTTGTTTTAATATCGTTTTAAATTTATTATGCCAAAATAGTATTTTGGCTATCATTGGCAATACGTAAGATTGATACCATTGTAATATTTTGAAAAAATAAAGGTATCAACTTTAATGCAAGATATGATGAGTTGAGCGTCGAATAATTTTATTTTTGCAATATTAATATTCTTTAGTCCCTAGTATATCATTGTTTCATACTCATCACGTAGATCGATTCCGTTTCAATGATCAGATAAAGCAGAAACAATATACTCAGATGCCACTTATTTGGTCTAAAAAATGAGTTCCCCCCTTTAGTTTTTGAATAAAAATTTGAAAAAAAATTCATTCTTTTTTTAGGTGTTTAGTCTGAGGCTCAGGTTTTTCAGTATAAGTTAATGCATTAGATATAGCTGTCAACTTTTGTGTGAACCATTCAGTTGTACTTTTGAAAGCTTTCGACGCCACATACCGTAATGGCGGATCTACAGACCCACTCCATATTTCAGAAGAACGAATACTCTCTCGTTTGTTTTTCCCTACTGTTAATAGCCCGATTAGATTAAAGTACTCGGATTTTATGTGAATATCTTTGAATAGATAAAACATATAGTCATGATTTCTGATATCATTCATTGCAGAAAAAATTACATCGATAGAGTACTTGCCATATGTCAAATTATCAATGAAGGATGATTCTTTCATTCTACGAGGAATAATCTTCACAATGTTGATTGGAAAATCATTGAGATGATTTGTATTATCTTGTGGTGAAAATAAATCAAGAATCGTTTTATGATATACAGCATTTTGTACTTTTAAATAAAAGTAAAATATTCCTTGTTCACACGTAATTTCCTCTACAATTAATTTAGCAACAATAACATTAATCGGATCGTTAAGATGTAGAGATACGAAGAAAAGTGTAGTGTCTAGATATTCAGATTTTCTATGAAAATTAAAGTGGTTTAAATATTCTTTAAAATTAGGTCTGAGTGAATCCAGTAAATAATCATGGACGGCTGGATTAGTAACGAATCTACAATCATACCAAACATATTCGTCATTGTTATCAGTATTGGAATTTGATGACATTAAATTTTTGTCACTTTTATTGAAAATTTTAAAGTTTACTCTGACGATAAGTAAACCATATAATACAAAGTTCACGAGTTTTTCAAATTTTGATCTGAAAATGTTCAATATAGTAGAAATACTATTATATAAGGCATTTAATTTGTCCTCAAAAGATAATATCAGGCAGAATTGTCAAAAAGCTGATTTTTAAGAAATACGATGACGATTAAATGTTATAAGTCATTGTCTGGTTATGGATAAATTAATATGATCGCCAGCATATAGTACAATTCCAGAAACAGATAAATAAACTAGGTTCATCTGCAAGAAGACAGAATTAGCAAAATATATCTGAAATTAAAACGAATAAAGCTCAATTATCACCGCCCCGCCAGAAATACGAAATCAAGATCTCTCTATCGATAATTCTAAGATAGATTTTGAAGACAATTCAAAATCGCCAAATAGTAAACATGATTTGATAGGCAATGCTCCATATATCAAATCAAAAATGTTTGGTGCCGAAATTGAACCTGATTCAATGCATTTACTATATCCATCATATTATCGAAGTATTAGAGAAGCAAGACCTATTCTTTCATTTGTTACACACATAAATGAACAATTACAAAGTGAAGCCATGCAAAAACGTCAAGATAATGATGCTACCGCTATGTTATTTTATATTGAATTCAAAATTTTGAATAATAAATAATCGTCCTTTATCAAATTCAATTTTTTCAATGTCATTTATTTTGAAAGGAAGTAAAATTTTACAAAGATTTTGATGAAAGCCATTATAAAGCATCCCCTATTATTTGATTTCAAGACTTTATTAATCAGTATCCATATGTCCATACTATTGATTATTCTAATTAGAGGTTTTTCTATTTTTATTTATCACATTCACTTGAATTCTTTTATCAGAACACCATCAAAGCTTTCACAACTTACATTTCACACAGAAAAAGAAGAAGTTAAATCAGAATTCTTTTCAGAGCAACTCAAAGTGAAAGAAATGGAAATTTTAATTTCAAATTGCATATTTTCGAAATGCTATTCAAATATAGGACCTGCATGCATGGAAATTACATATCAAGGGCTTTTACCTGAATCGAGATTAACAATTGATTCATGTCATTTTTCTTTATGTTATTCTGCTGAAATAGGTGGGATAGCATCATTAGCACCTTATAATTGTTTGATACAAAAGCTTTGCTGCTCCGGATGCAAGTCACATAAGCGTGCAAATTCATTTTTTGCTTATATAGGGAACGATATCAACTTTACTGAGAATTCATTGGATAAATGTGGTCCAAAAACAGCTCCCGGTGAAACTGAGCTAATGATGCTCTATGGAGGCCTTATTACATGCGAAAATAATAATTTGACAAGAAATTATTGCAATGAACTCAGAGCTTTTGGATGCTTTAGACCAGCGATTAATATTATATACAAATTTAATGATCATGTCAACTCTTCTGCGAAATCTTTGTTTGCATTTTTTGGATTCTTCAGAATGCAGATGGATATTTCAAAATGCTATGTAATTAAGTGCAGTATACTTCCTAATATCGGTCTTGCAACATATGAATACATGCAAAGTTTAATAATTCAAAATTTCTACTATGTTGACACAAATGATGAATTTTCTTTTGTTTCTGTGCTTGATGTTGCTGCAAATTATGGTCCGATTTTCATTAAATGCTTTACAAACAGACCAAAGGCAGAAACTCAAATAAATGGAAGTACTGATTTATCAAATGATGCCATATATATGTATTCGTATAACAGTACAAGGCATGTTCAAATTTGCAGCATAAATACAAGAAAACCAACAAAAATTTTGCTGAAATTAAACAACACGAAGAACAGCTTTGGAAAATTCAAACAGACTGAAAGGACATGTTTACCAATTCCTGATGAAAACGTCGAAGTCGAAGGCCAAGAAAAATTTGATTTCTTCATTTTGTCTGAAATTGGTCTTGTTTTGCTTATCGTTGCTGCAATAGTTTTGTTTTCATTGATATATATTAAGAAGAAAAAGAAATTAGGAAATTCAACTCATCCCAAGAAAGATAGTCCAGATTCACCATTCTTGCATTAACTATTATTAGACATACCAAAACTGAATAATATTAATTTGTAATCTCCTTTAAATTCAATAGAGAAATATAGATATTTTGTTTGTTAAGTAAATCTTTGTTTTTTATGATAACAGTAATATATTTTGAATTTACCTCTACTCATATAAGATAGATATATGTATCTTCAATAATATTTTCTTCTAATCTCAAATTATAATTCTTGCAAAATGGTTAATATGCACTTACAAATGAATCACCCTATACATTTCACTATGGAACTTGAAATTATGGCTCCATATAGAGAATTACTATTAGTTATTTTGATTATTCTCTTCTAATACTCCTGAATAACATGATTTATGGATCTATAAAGAGATCATATATAAGCTATCTTAATAAGAATCAGAAGATAAATTTGTCTCTATAAAAAAAATGTATCTTTTTATAAATTTAATGCATTACACACAATCGTTTAAGAAATAACCAAATAATATAAATAAAATTAAAATTCAAGTATACTTTGTACCGCAACCATTCGCTTTTGAACAAATTGATCTGCGCATTCGAACAAAATCAAGAAATTCTTCAGATTTGAGACCCTTGAATTCGGCTTCAACGATCTCTGCTTCAATTCCCTTGTTGCCCTGTTCAGACTGTTCCACCAATTAAATGCTGACTTTACATCAGTCAAAAGTTGGTCGTAGTCCTCAACTGAGTCGGCGAACTGTGTTATTCTGTCCTCAGATGCTTCGAGGAGGAATCTCATGAGAGTTCCAGTAGTTACGTCGGTCTGATTTCGAAATGGTTCTTCCGCGAGTATAGAAGTTAGTTCTTGTATGTTCGGCTGTGGCGCGAATTCATAGTAAGTGTCGGCAGCGATAAGGCGGTATAATAAAATCAAAGCGTGGTTTATGAGTTTCGTAATATTTTGGAATGTGTTGATTTTTTCTTTCAAATTCGGTGGCGGAGGGGTTTTTGTTGGAAAGAATAAAAATGTTCGTTCAATGATCTCTGTAACTCCTACAGATCCGGCTAATGCCGAATCGACTTCTGCATCCATTGCATCAGCTCTGACCATCTCTATGAAATTAATGGTGACGACATCATAGCCAGAGTTTGAGTTAAGTACTGCTCGTCCCCAAGGTGATAATCCACCACCTGGAGCGATATATTCATGCGCAGTAAGAAATCTGCGGACAGATTCAGTAATAACCTTATTTCTGATGTTATCGTTGGTCGAAGGAACGCTTATTTGGTCGTTTGTCGAGATTGACCGCATTGTTTCAAACAATGTAGTGAAACTACGAGAAACGATGTTCTGTGCTGCAAGGACATTCGATATTATCCTGTTATTATCCTCTAAAGGTGTCGAAAGAGGGTTTTGTTGCAGCATTAATGGTAGAAATTCGTCAATTCTTGGGCATTCCTGGTTTGTAAAGAGTTCTGAGAGCGTAACACCGCTAAAGTTCTTGAAAATGGATATGTAGATATCGCTAATATCGTTTAAATATGCAACACAGTTCCTTGGTAGTGAAATGATGGGATTTTCAGCGGAAGGACCGCATGGTGGGCGCGGAATACGAGGTGGACAGATAATTCCCGCACAAATACATGATTCCGCCTTGGAATTAATAATTGATGGGGTAATAAAATTCTGATTTTCAGGGAGTTTGTCATTTTTAACAGTAGATCCATCGTCTACTTGAGAAAATACTGCATTGGATGCATGAGGGATTTGCATTAATTGCTTAATTGTCGATGGAGTCGCTTGGAATATTAGTGCCTCCATTGTTTCGAATTTTATGTGTGAAATCCAGGAGGAAATATCCTGTAGAGCAATTGTAGTATCTGAAAATATCGCATTTAACATTTTGTTTTTGTACATGTAAGATAATTGTTTTTGGGAGTAAGATGGAGCGTAAATAATCTTAACATCGTGTTCCTTTAAGAACTGTGAGATCGTTGAAAAAAGAAAACTGTAGCAATACGAAAAAAAATGTTGGATTATTCCATCATAGACGAAAATTGGTTCAACATTTTTGCTTCTCATGGCTGTAAGGGAACTATCAAGCATCGTTTGCACGGTGAAAACGATATCGGCTAAGCTACTTCCCGTTGGAAATGATTTTAGCAAATAAGTCTGGAAAAAATGCGTCAAATCGATGCCAATATAAAACTTTTGTCCAATCCCCTCGAGCTTGACAGTTGATGCTATGACCGGAACCGAAATTTCCCCTACTTTCGCTTCGATCTGCATTGCAACTATTCAACACAGGCCGGCCGTGTCACTTTTGTGTTAAAAGATTAATTAATCAAAAAAAATTTACACGCCCGTTTGACACTTAAGTCAAATTTTCCGATTACAATTGACAGGACACGCCTGTAAACGATATAAACTTATATCAAAAACATGTTTTGTCTTTTTTTAGTATCCAGTAAAGCAGAAATGGAAACCACACAATATAAGAATCTCAGATTCGATAATTCTCTCACTACCACCCAAAATTTCACTGTTTCTCATTGTTCATTTTATAATCTTTATAATACAGAAGCAGGTGGATCAATTCACATCGAAAAACGATCGAATCTCATTTCAGTATCAAAATGCATATTTTGGAATAGTACATCACTTGGAAGAGGCGGCGCAATTTACGCTCAAGTATTTGAACTCATAATCTCTTCGAATTGCTTCGGATTGTGCGTGGGAGGCAAAACTAATGGATGTGATGGATCTACTATTTATGCTGAAACTGAAAACGGTATTACTTTCCACGAAATGAATTCATATCAAAGTTGCCCTGACCATTCAAGGACCACTTGGTACGGATTATGCATTTTCTGGCATAACAACCAAACTTCTTTAGATATAAACGTCTCACATTCAACGGTAGATTATTCTGCAGGATTAGCTCACGGAAATAGCAAGATTCTCAAAGTACGAAGATACATAGCAGTCGATGAGAGGAAAGGTGCTGCTCTTTCTTTCTCTTATCAGCAAAAAACTGTTGGAGATGCAATTTACGGTGCTTTTGTGAACAACTCATGCTCCCAAGGCATCATCTATCTACAAGGAGCAGATGCTGTTGTCAAAAACTTTGTTTTTTACAGGAATTCCGGAAGAATTTTGTCTGAAATTCAAGGTGGAGGCTGCCATTTGTACGATTGCGTATTTGATTCACCTAAATTCAACTTTGACAACGTTCTGAGAACAGGAGTTGGCTTAGTTTTCGATAAAACAGACATTAATTTGACAATTTCTGGATTCAGAGAAGTTGACTGCGAAAAAGTTGGAAATATAGTTGTTGTTGCTAGTGATTTCCAGGTTCTTTTGGTTGCTATCTTTGTTTTCTTGTTTATTATTGGAGCTGCTTTTGCTATTGCTCAATTGGTGCATTTCGCTAAATCTAGGCCTATTAGTATGTATACAACGCTTAGAACTAAATAGACTTATTCTTATATTATTTGTAAAAATTTAATTTTATATCGAATTTCAAGTTTTTTTACTTATGAACCCTATTTTAATCGATAACTTGTGTAGGTACTAAACTCATAGATACTTAAATTTTAAAATTTCAAGTTCAATGAAGGAAAAAATGTAACATATTCTACAAGAATTTCACACAAAGCATTTTAGTGCATTATCTTGTTAATTCGAGAAATTGAAATTCAAATTCTCTTTTATTTCAATATTGGATTAGATTACACTCAATGGATACGACAGTCCATTTCAATATATGCTCCATTTTTAAAATGCATTGAATCCTGGGCTGAGATTAATGAAATTGACTACATAATTTATCAAGAAAGTGAGAAAACTTTGGTACAATCGTTGCTAAATTTTCTATCCATATTCGGGTTTTATTTTTTTGCAGCAACACGGGTGTAACACGGGTGTAAACTATTCAATTTCTCTCAAATATTGAGTACTTTTGGGCAACACGGGGATAGAATTGAATACCTTGGGCAACACGAGATTTTTTATTAAACGTATACTTTTATGAAAAATGATTGCTAACTCTATATCAAATTAAAATTTGGATATAATAATTATAGCAATGATGCGCCTTCAATTCTCCATTAAATCTAGATCGTCGAAATTGCACAATTCAAGATTTCATAATTGCATTTCAAATATTTTAAAAAATGTTTTATTAGCATCCATCGAAAACCATTCCACGCTAGATACAATGCATATACAATCAAAAGGCTAAACATAAATTAAAGATTTCTCCCTTTAAATATACCATTATTTTAAAAATTAACTTTGAAGCTTAGCTAACATCGAAATACAGAAGGAAACTAGATAGATTCTTAGTATCCCTGCAAAGATTCGGTGATAATTACCAAAGATTAAATTTCGAATACAATAAGAAGAGTACATAAAGTTTCCTTCAAAGATTAACTTCTTACCGATATCTTTATTATAAATGTTAGTCATAAATCAATTGGATGGAATTTAACTTTTCATTCTCAAATTACGAAACTCAAACTTAGATTTGAGTAGGTTTTGACCATTTTACAATCATTTATATGTATGGGTTTGTTATAAAGCGTGTAAAAAAATATTGTTCAATTTGATCTAATGAAAATAAATTTTTTTGAATATGATAAAAGTTCTTCTTCTCACCAAGTCATATTGTAGCACATCCTAGTTGAGAAATGATAATATCATCTTATTAAACATAACATTCTCTTAAAAATAGTTTAATTCATTGAATACCTCACTTTGTCTCAGCATAACTTTTATCATATGTGTATAGAATGAGACATATTTCTTATAATTGCTCATTATATTTCTGTTTTGAGAGAAATTTTCAAAAAAGAATGCTTGTTTACAACATTTTGCATAACAATATTTATGTAAAGCTAATGTTTGAATCCCTATGATTAGACCAGGTATGCATTATATTTTTATTCACTTATATACAAAGCTCTTAATAGTAAAAAAAAGATTGACATCGAAGTAAAATTTTTACTGCATATATAATATCTACTTATTAGACAGTGCAATTTAAAATGAATGGTAGGGGTCTAAATGATAAATCAAAGATTTTAGTGAACGTTTATATTATCAATTGATAATGCTCTATTTACTTTTGACCTTTGCTTATTCACTAACTATTAATACCACAGGATACTATAACCCACATGTTGATCCCACAGGTACGACTATTGAATTCAATCTTCCTGATAAACGAGACGGATTTTATTATATTGCCTTTGTAAATAAGGATCCCAGTCTCCATTTCAACAGTACTTCAATCAATAACTCGGTTTACAAAATAATAGAACTCAATGCAAAATATATAGCTACAGTTTCCAGCGGAAATATTATTAATTTTGGTGTTTTCCTTGCTCCAAAAATACTCTAGATCCTGGATTTCTATTTACGACCATCAGGGACAGACAGATATTTTATTCCTCCAGAAAATCCGCATGTCCAGATTGATTATATTTTATGCATCGTTAATGACTATGAAACAAATGTTACAATTGAACAACATAGACGCGACGAAAACCTTGCTTATATTAGCACAAATGGAGGCATACCCATTGAAAGAATTACTAATGTTACAAACGAACACCTAATTTTGCTTAGATTTAAATACATTTACATTGTTACTCCAGTTACTTATTACACAATCACTTCAAACAATCCTGATTCCAAAAGTGTTGAAAAATAATATGATAATTCCACAGAAAATCATGTTTTTAATACACCAATCATTATTGAAACTCTTCCACAAACTAAGTCCAACTCACTTCCTGTTTATGCTATTGTTCTCATAGTTATTGCTGCTTTTGTTATTATTGGTATTGCTATTGCTATTTGTTGCTGTATTTGCTGTAAACAAAAGTGTCGCAAATCATCATTAGAGTCACCTTCATCTACATATTCTAAAGCATTTGATTCAACTTCATCAGATGACATTTATCAAGAAGAGCCGCAGCAACAACAACAGCAACAGCCGCAGCAACAACAACAATCAAACAATATTACTCCTTCAATATACTAAGCTCTTCAACAACAACAATCTCCTATTTGTCCAATCTTCATACTCTAGTCCCGAAACTAAGCCTGAATATGATAACCCTTATGCTTAAATAACAATCAGATATTTGTGATGACTTGTACTTTATAAGCACCACTGAAATGCAGATTCTCCAATAGATTGTAGTCCTTATTGAAAAGAAAAAAAAATTTTATTATCTGAAGAAAGTTAAAATATTATCTGATATAAATGTTATATTCTTTAAAGTAATGATTTATTGTTTTTATGAGATGAAATCAGAAAGTGGTAAGTGAATTTTATTAAAAAAATTATTTAATTTATTCTTAAGATTTCTTTGAGTCAGCAGAATCAGAAGCTTTTGTTCTAGATATAATTCTTACGTAGTACTTCTTGAGTGTTGAAGGCACAGACGAGTTGTTTATCTGTTCCTTGCAGAAGTCCACAATCTGGTACTTTCTGAGAGCAGCTCTTCCGTAGTGGAATTTCGATGCTTCATCCAAAATCGCGAGTGCTCTTTCTCTAAATGCAGGAATAGAAGTGAACTTCGACATTGCCTGCACAACGCATTTGATGTCATGGTTTGTATCCAATGTTCCTGCACTACTTGGATCAGAAACAATGTTTTCAACAGTAGAAAACGTTGTTTCCAATGTTTCATCATCATCATTTTCGAAAAGTTTCGTAATTCTGTTGATGTGTTGCACGCAATGCAAAGCACCGCAAGGATCGCTTGTTATGCATCTTATGCAGATCAACGGGTAAGGAGCGACCTTGTCATCATCCAGTGCCTTCACGAAGTCATCAACAGCGTTGTTTGCGTTTGCAGACAATGGATAACTCTGTGTGAAAGCAGCGAAAGCCATGAACGCGAGTTTTCTCGTTTCGCAATCACTGTTTGACAGACAACTCTGCAACAAAGGAATGCAGCCGCTGTTATCCAAGAATTTGGCTCCAGCAAATGACATAGAAACTACACCAGTAAGTCTCAACGCTGGTTGTCTTAAAATGTCATTATTTAAAGCGGTTTTGACAAAATTTGCCAAAGTTTCAACGAAAACTTTTCCTTGAACTTTATCTTGCAAATTCATTATGATTACTGTCAAACACGACGCTGCCAAAGCTGCAATTCCTGGTTTGTCGCTGTTCAAGTGGGGAACAATGTATTCACCAAGTCCAGAGAACGCTTGGAAAGAGCTCTGATTAGATAACAAAGCAAACATCAATTGCAATGAATAAGCAGCAATTGTTGTGTTGTTTTGTTTGAGACACTGTTGGAAACCTGGTTCAGAATCATTAAATAACTTGAAAGCAAATGGAGAATGAACAATTACACCAACAACATACAATGCTTTTGTCATTAATTGTATACTTCCATGAGAAACAACTTTTACAAACAAGGAAGAATACGATTGTATGGCTTTTTGTGGTTGTTGGATCTCTCCAATCAATGCTCTCATGATATCTAACGTGTCGCAGAGGACTTCTTCGTCATCATGTTGTAGGATATCTAAGATTGTCGTTGGACCTTCGCCTCTTGCAAGGAAATTGATCGCTTTCTGGTAAGGAAGAAGGAGTTTGATCAATTTGAGTGTCGCTTTGAGGAGTTCAAGCTTGGCTTCACGAATTGCGTTGCCAAGAACGGAATTAATGATCGAAATCACCGCTGTGTCTGTTTCGAAGGCTCTACGACGGACAACAAGTGATAAAAGATCCGTGGAACTGATTCTGATGGATAATTCTGTTGTACCGAGGAAAGATGCGAGTTTTGCAAAGTGTTCGGCAGTGAGTTTGACGTTGTTGTCAATAGCCATGACGTTTGTAAGTGATTCAATGGCTTTCGGCATGTTCGCGGAACCGAATTTGAGAATTAATTCAAGAAGTGCTTGAGTTCCACCGAGTTTGACGAAGGATTGGCACATAACGGAATCGCACGATAAAGGATAGAAGCATTGGACTAAGTCAAATGATGTCTGTGCCAAACTGCAGGATTTCATCTGATCAACAATGGCTCTGATGACTTCTGAGTTCCTCAAAAGGTTCTGCCAGTTGTTCTTATCATCAATAAGCTTAAGCTTGGCAAGAGCAGTTGAAATTGTCTGTTCTCCTTCCATTTCCATAATAATTTGGTCGATACTCTTCTCCGTGACCTTGTTTATGTCGAACTCGCCAAGATTGCTCTCGTGACTGGAGAATTGGCTGATGTAGGCGTTGACTTGGTCTTGATTTGTACCTGGAAAACTAATTAGTCCGCATTTGAACATTTTCGCGATGGTTTCGAAGTCTGGTCTTTGGTCTGGATCCCTGTCCCAGCATCTCTTGATCAGTTTGACAATCTTTTGCGGACAATTTTGTGGAAATAGTGGACGGGCGTCTTTCTGGATGACATTCATGGATACCTGGATTTCGCTGAGGCCATGGAAAGGTACATCCTGAGTCAAAAGTTCCCAAAGAACGATCGCATAACTGTATACATCTGCTTTGAACGTATAAGGTCTGGAATCAAGCACTTCTGGGGCCATCCATCTGTACGTACCGATACCGCCGGTCAAAACATCAGCTCCTTCGATGTTTCTTGACATTCCGAAATCACAAATTTTCGGGAAGTCATCGGAATCGAGCAAAATGTTCAGAGACTTGAGATCTCTATGCATTATGTTCTTGGAATGCATGTAAGCCATACCTTCCGCAATACCTAACGCGCATATGGTTTTCCTGGTTCCGTCGAACGGAGTTGTAGCTTTTCTGAGGCGCTCGAACAAGTTGCCATTGGACATGAACTCTGTGACTAAGCAATATGGATGTTGGATTGATGCACCGACAAAAGGAAGAATTGCGTAGTGTTTCAGAGAGGAGAAAATTTGTATTTCACGCTTGTACATCTGGAAATCGTGGAATTTGAATTGTTGTGTCTTTAATTTCTTAAATCCAACGAGAAGACCTGTAGATTTCTGATATCCGAGGTATACATCGGCGAAAGTGCCTGAACCTAAGCGCTTTTGTAATTCGAAATCGTCTGGATTGATATTCCATTCTTTGAATTCTTTCAAATTCTCAGTAACTTCTTCGGCTGTCATGTTTCTGAGAAGCTGGTCTTTCTGTTCTTTGGATGCTGCCTCGATTTCGTTGTACTTTTCAACTGCTTCGATGCATTCTTGCTTTCTTAATTCGAAAACTTGTTTTTGCTCGGCTGTAAAGCGATTTGCTTGCGTCTCGAGAGCAAGATCGATCATTTCGATGATGCCTGCCATATCTGATGCATCATCAATGCGAGTTTGGATTGGATTAATTGGGCAAGGCTCATTTTTAGTGAAATTCAGCTCGATACAGCACTTGTTAAATTGAACACGGAATTCATTAAGTTGGTTAATGAATTTGCATGGATTTGCTTTTATAAGAACTTGAAGAAAATTCTGTTCTGAAAAGCTGATAAAAACATTTCTCATATCTGTGATGAGCTTGGATAAGAGCTGTAAGTTTGTGTTTTCGCCTGGTGTGACTTGTCTATTCGGAACGTTTATTTGAGATTTATGAAATGCCAATAATTCCGAACAGAGCAAAGCCAGCTTTGCACGATGGATCACAATATTTTTATATTGTGTGAGGATGCTATATGCTTCACTACGTATATTCTGAAGCCATGCTGGTAATGTTGTGATCGTATCATTACCGACAGGCATTTTTTTTATTTAGCACACAGTGAGAAATGATTTCTTGTTTAATTATCATAAATATATTAAGATTTATCAGTTAATTTGAAATAATTATGAAATATAAGGATATTCTTTAGTTTTCAAAATCAAATCAAATATTAGATATATTTCTTGAATGTTCACAAAAGAAAATCTTGATTAATTTGTATATAAAGCAGCTTTATTAAGTCTAATGATGTAGTTTTCGATCATAATAAAATATATTTATAAAATATTTCAGAAAGAATTTAATTAAGTGCGAGGATTACGTTGTAAGTAATAATATATACTAACACCATGGCAACAAAATGGGAAAATAGAACTGAACATTCTTCTGCAAAATCGAATTTAGCAGATAAACCTGTAAGATGAAGTAAAAATGATATGCCAACATGAATTGAAAGCCATGTTAATGAAGCTTCCTTGATTGGAACATTTAATATCAGTGAAATGGCTCCAACTAGAATTGCAACTAAAGATTTTAATAAACCTTCAAAGTATTTTGGCTCGTAAACTTTAGGAGGTCTTGGTGCTGACATTGGCGGAAACATTTGCTGGATAGGATTTGGACCACCTGGGAACATCTGTAAACTTTTTTTGGAATGACTAAAATTATATTTATTATTGTTTCCGTCTGATCGAAAACTCGATATGGGGGACAATAATGGAGTTTATATAGATCCGCTCGTGTTGTATATTAGAATAATCTTCTATATGTTCTTCCAAATTATTTAATGATTAAATTTTTTCAATTAAAAAATCTTATCTATTGTTATTAATTTTGAATTTTTGAACTTTTTTTGGAATTTTTAGGAAAATATAAAGCTGTGAATGGGCCCTAATTTTGTTATTAATCATTTTATAACCTGAGTTATGTCATAACAAAGTGTTTAGCTTTAAATAATCACTTTGTTTTATCAATTTTAAGGCCCCATTGCTTAGGTATAAAGGAAATAATTTTAAAAATATCAAAAGATTGTAATATTAAGTAAAATTCTTAATATATTTTTCAATATGCTATGATTTGTGATTAACGTACAGAATATCCCACATTCTAACGCAAGTGGTGCGAATGTACACTTATATATATAAGGCATTGAACAAAATAAATATCGAGCTAAAAAATTATTCAATAATTCTGCTTTAATTAGGGTGAAACCAATCATACTTCTTCTATTTAATATATTTCCAGTAAAGGAAATCATGGTTGTCTTTGCCATGATGAGAAAAAAAATTAACTGATAGTCTTTAGGTATTTCAGCTTATATTCATAAATAGTTTTAAATGTGTATCTTGAATTTTCTGTTCAAATGTATTCTTCTTGAGGGTTAAATTCGAAATACGAAACGCTAACTCTTATTGGGATCTAAGAGAGTTAATATAATGCTTCGTTAAGTCTGATCATTATTTCAAATGTGCCATTTGATTGGATCAAAAGTTGATCAGAAAAACAAAAAACAAGAAGAAATAAAATAAAATTGAATTCGGATAAACCCTCTGAAAATATAAATTCAATCAATTTGAGTAGTCTACTTATCGGTAACGATGAAAATACAGAGCCGACAGCACTAAAAAAATCACATCCACCATGAATCAGAGCCTCTTACCAAAGGAGAATGCGCCTTTGGTATTTGTTAATCAAGATAACGATATCTCTGCCTTCACAGAGGAATCCACGTCCACAACTAAGGTAGAAAAGAAAGCCAAGAAGGAAAGATTATCTTTTCTTCCGATATCAGCAGCATTAATCTTCGGAGTGGTATATATGCTTCCATTTTGGAAACTAGATCCCATTTCACACAGTTGTTTTGCTCTTTTGTGTGCAATTGCATTTCTCTGGAGTACAGAAGGTATTCCTGCTTACGCTGCTGCCTATATTGTTCCACTTATTGGTGTATGGCTTGGCTTAGGTTACGATAAGAATACAGGAAAGAGAATTCCAGCTGCAACTTTGGCTTCAACATTCGCATGGAGATTTATGGATCCAATTATATTCGTTTTCCTTGGCTCCATGACCATGAGTGAATGCTTATCAAAACTCAACATTACAGATCGTGTTTCTCGTCTTGTTTTTCGCAGATTATCAAAACAACCGAAATTTATTCTTCTTACATTAATGCTCCTTAACTGGGCAATCGCTGCATTTCTCTCCAATGTCGCATCAACAACTCTCGTTCTTACATTCAGCATGCCAATCATTCGATCTCTTGATCCAGATGATCCATTCATCAAAGCAATTTTGTTCGGCATTGCATGGTCCGGCAATGCTGGTGGTATGCCAACAACCATTGCTTCCCCTCAAAATATCCTTGCTGTTAAATATGTACACGATAATACTCCAATTTCCATTTCCTTCCTCTTCTGGATGTACTTTGGCGTACCATGCTCACTCGTCATCCTCTTCCTTGAGTGGGGCTACCTCTTACTCCGCTTCAAACCACAGCGTTCCCAAATTTACGTCGGAGAAACAGCCGCAGAATACGAGAAATGGGGAATCAAGCACACATTCGCATCAATCATTACAGTATCAACAATTACCCTCTGGACACTTAACGAAACATTCCCTAAAGTACTCGGAAATGTCGGAATTACTTCCATGATCCCTGTTGTCACTTTCTTTGGCAGTGGAATGCTTACAGTACAAGATTTCCATACAATCAGATGGTCAACACTCGCTCTTATGGGCGGTGGCCTTGCATTAGGCGAAGCAATGAAGATTTCCGGACTTCTCGACTTAGTCGCGAAAGTTTCTGGTTCATTACTCGGTGGCATCCCTCTGTGGCCACTTCTCCTCATTTTCTTGTTCATCGAAGCTGTCCTTGCATCTCTAATTAACAGTACATCCGCTGCGGCCATTCTTTACCCAGTTATTGCTGTCATGGGTGCTCCAACACATCACCCGAACCTTATGGTCGTTCTCTCCGCCTTGATGGTTTCTGGTGCTCAGCTCTTCCACATTTCTTCATTCCCCAACGCTCTGATGTCTGGTGTTTGCAGACACAAGCCTGGAAATGGAGAGGAAGTAACACAGATCACATTCCTTGAGGGATCTGAGTACTTCAAATATGGCTGGCCAACTGTGCTCGCTGGAATATTTGTCGTAGCATCTATTGGCTATTTCATCGCTAAGATAAAGTTATAAATTATTAGTTTTTATTTCTTTAATTAGTGTTTGTTTTCTTTTTATAATATATTTCTTATTTCGAAATAAAAAAAGTCTGATTAGACTTATCAATTTGATTGAGCACAATCCAGAGAACTTCACCAACTCTGTTGTTTACGCGTTGATCTATTGATTTGCTATATATATTGAGAAAAAAAAAGTCTGACTAGACTTATCAATTGACATTTTGATTGAGCACAATCCAGTAATTTGGATATATTGTCTCGAAACTATTTGAAACATTGCTCTCTGTTATTATATTTCATGTAACAAGCTAAGCATAGTTCAAAATGAATGCTAGTAGTGCATATACTAAGATATATTTGAAGATTTGTAATTTAAATTTTGAAGAAATATCTTTGATAATGTTAACTACTCAAGCGGTACCATTGGTTATTAAAATAGAGTTGTAATTGAGGTGAAATGATTAGAGAATATCTTTATTTCTTCTTGGCGATCTTGTCGGAGTAGAAAGCGAGTTCCTCACCTTCAAGGATGTAGCCATCAGCACGGCCGCACTGACCTGGGCGGGATGTGATGACAGCGAGAAGACGGCCTTGGTCGAATTCGGCGACAAGTTCTGGAGCGACAACGCCACCATCCTTGTTAGCAGCCCAGCGCTGTGTCATCTTGTCTGTGACCTTCTCTGGCTTGACGTACTGAGACTTGCCGAGGGCCTTGCCGAATTGGCGTTCGTACCACTGCTTGAATGGGGCAGCATCGATGGAAACGACGGAGCCACGAGCAAGTGTGTTTGTGCGGACAAGATCGTTGTCAGCTGGGTGGTATGTAACGTTAAGGATACGTGTCTTACGTGTGCAGTTCTCAGAAGCCCAAGCGAATGTGCCTGTTTCGAGACGGAGAGCACGCATCTTGAGGTTGCCACCACGTACGCGGACGGCGTGGATTCTCTTCTCGCCGATACGTGTCTGAGCAGATGGACGGCCGGCAAGGAAGTTACGTTTCTTACGCCAGGCGACTTGGCGAGCGCCGGACTTTGTGTGCTTAAGGTCTCCCATACGTGTGATACCCATTAGAAAAAAAGGAAGAGCAGCTCGTCAAAACCGCAATTTGTTCTCAATTTAATTTTAGACAAAAAGATCAAAAGAGCATCAACAAAGGCGAATTACAATAAAATTTCACATTATTTTATGAGACACATACCAACAGAATACTATATGTGATCATTGTACTTCTCAGATAATGAACTTTATCTAATCTGATTAAAATTGCATTTCTAGTCTCTTCCATGTCCAGGAAACATATATAAAGTATGTTATTGCTGAGTTCTAATGAAATAACACATTGATAAAGATGCTTCGTAAGGATCTTGCGTTATAAGAGTAATTTTCTCCTACCGAAATCATGGCTTATGCTATGACATTCTAAGAAATTAATAATATGATGTAAATAACAAATATCACGCCATACAAATATTGCATTCATAAACATCTGCAATACCATTCCTCGATTGTGTGGGAATAGTTAATATGGTCCATAGTTAGATGTACAAATGAGTCTTTATGCTAAACAGCAAACTGCTAGAAAGATTTTGAATTTTATTAATTTTGTTTTTCATCAGATACTCCGAATTATTAGTAATCATCCAGCTTGAGAAATATAATTAAGGATGTCAATTTGGAAGAAAAGTGAGAAAATTCCTAAAATGCTAAAAATGAATTTCCAAACGTATTTTTTTATCTCATTTTTTTGATTTTGAAAAAAATTTGGAGAGAAGATCTCTTCGTTTTTGAATTTTATCACGATGGTTTTAAAGTATATTAGACACATGTATTGATATTACTAGTTTTGTATATTTTGAGTACGGATGTCAATTCGGAAAATTGTTTTCATTTTAGGAGAATATAATTTTCCTTTTGGAAAATTTAAAAAGTGAGACGCGCAGGATTCGAACTTTTTTAAAAGTTGATTTAAATATATTCTAGTGTGATTTCTAAGGATAATATCATATTTAAAATAAGAATATACTAGTTTGGGTGGTATAATTTTTTCGATAAATTTGAGAATATGTACGTTTAGGGCATCAAAAGTGTCAATTCGCTCAGCGAAAGCTGAGCTAGCTTCGTTCTCGAAAGAATAGGGAAGGAGTGAAAGAGAGTGATACAGATGTTGACACATTCATATCATTTCAACAAATTTTGATCAAATTGAAATTCAATGAAATTCAATTCACTTCATATCCTTCAGTCAGTACATTGACATCATTCTACATCACAATGATAACTCGTACATCAATAGTTCTACAACTAACTCAGAAAAAACAAGATTTTTACTTCCAGCTTACAGCTTTTAAAAAGTTTCGATGATAAAAATCACTCTACTCTTGTTTATCGATATGTTGTGATAGTAGGTAAACGTATTCTTATCGATATTAATAAAAATATTTTTACGAAAATCTGAACCAATTACAGAGTTATTCATAAAGTTTATGATAACTGTAATTACTTCATCTTTGTTTTATATTTGAATAAACAATTTAATTTAATTTAATTTGCATAATTTTTTTTTAGTTGAAAAACAGGAAACTTATTTGAGTTTGTATTATTTTTATCGTTCAATTCATTGTATCAGTGAGTGATCCAGATATTTAAGATATTTAGAAAAAATTTATTAATTTGATTAACAAATTTTAATCAAAATAGCAAAAATCTATTTGATAGCTGTAAGCAAACAATAACTTTTATTTCAAGCAAAATCACTTATTTTCATCTAAACGTATAAAATTGTCAATTTTATGAGAATAAATTTAAAATCTCATGAAATATAAAGAAGAGTAATATTTTTCAATTTTCTTTTTTTCTTTGTCTCAAATATTTTCTGTTGGGAATTTTCTTGTTATCAAAAAATAATTTTAATATTTGTTTATTTCATTACATACAATAAAATTTTAAAAACTCTATTTCTTCTCAAGAAAATTTTTTTCCTTCATATGAAGAACCATTTTGTTCTCCATTTGATGCTGAGTCTAAATCTCGATTTTTGAATTTTCTTCTTTCCAAATTAGAAGTTTAATTCAAATTTTCAATAGTTTATATATTTTCTCAAACCGTCTTAGATTTTCTTACTTTTTGGGGATTTTCTCTCAAAATATACAAAAATAGTAATATCAATACATGTGTCTAATATACTTTAAAACCATCGTGATAAAATTCAAAAACGAAGAGATCTTCTCTCCAAATTTTTTTCAAAATCAAAAAAATGAGATAAAAAATACGTTTGGAAATTCATTTTTGGCATTTTAGGAATTTTCTCACTTTTCTTCCAAATTGACATCCTTAATGCTTCTTCGCGAAGAAGCATTAAGTAATCCTACAGGTGGACTTAATTGGAAATTTCCATTCTATGCAGCCTTATTTGCAACTTTGGATCTTTCAGCCACAGTACTATCAGGAATTGCACTACTTTACGTCGATGCAAGTATCGTTTCGATTCTTAAAGGTTTCATCATCGTATTTACAAAACTTTTGACCTGGATGTTCCTCGGCCAGCGTCCAATTTCATACGAGAACCTATGAATCTTCCTTGTTATGCTCGGCTTAGCCTTCGTTGGAGGCTCAGCAGTTGGAGTTCACATGTCAAACGAAGAACACAAGAAATCTTTCATCAAAACTTTATTTGGACTTGGCTTATGCCTTGCTGGACAAGTTTTTCAGTCAATTCAATATGTTCTTGAAGAAAAGCTGATGAAAGGTGTTGGAATCAAACCAATCAACTCTCTATTCCTTGTTGGTTCTGAAGGAATTGCTGGATCCATTGTATCTTTTGCTGTTGTTTATCCTGTTGTTAACAGAATTCCAGGAAAAGATCACGGATCATATGAAAACTTCAAGAATGACATGTACATGTTATTCCACAACAATAAGATATTGCTTCTTGTTCTGTTGGATATCTTTGGTTTGACTCTCTACAACTGGTCATCATTTGCTTACACGAAATATGTAACAGCTGTTGCAAAGACAATTTTACATGCTATAACAACTATTTTCATATGGGCTACTATGGTCATTTTGCACTACACATTGAGCAAAAATCTTGGAGAAGCTATTACTTATTGGGCATTTTTGGAAGGAGCTGGATTCGTATTGATGATTCTTGGATCTGTTGTATTCAAGAATACGAAAGAAATTGGTGAAAAATGGGTGAAATCTTGCTGCTGTTGCCTATTGAGAAGAGACACGTCTGTCTCAGATGCCCAAATCAATCCTCTTTTGATTTAATTTTTTTTTAGTTTATTTAAATAATAAATTTCTATTTTGTTAAACTTTTTTGTTAGCTTTCTTTACACAGTGTTTTAAAAGAATGGATTCTGAATATAAAAGTACTTTAATATTACCACCCTTAATGATAAAAGTTAATTTATTGGCTTTAAAAAGGCAGGGCTTTCATTCTGGAACTCCTACTCTTCGCTTGGAGCCTCAGAATGAAAACCCTGCACTAGAAAAACACATGTTGAATCCAAATTTTTAATTATTATTGAAATTTTTAATTATTCTTTCAAGAAGCATCTGATGTATATAAACATTATGAAATTTTAATGCTATATCAAGAGGGGCTTATTTATTTACATCTTTTTCATTAATATTTGCACCATGTGAAATAAGAAGTTCAGCAGTTTCTTTTCTATTAAATTCTGCTGCATAATGAAGAGCGGTTTTTCCTATTCTATCTTTTTCATTAATATTTGCACCATGTGAAATAAGAAGTTCGGCAGTTTCTTTTCTATTAAATTCTGCTGCATAATGAAGAGCGGTTTTTCCTATTCTATCTTTTTCATTAATATTTGCACCATGTGAAATAAGAAGTTCGGCATTTTCTTTTCTATTAAATTCTGCTGCATAATGAAGAGCGGTTTTTCCTATTCTATCTTTTTCATTAATATTTGCACCATGTGAAATAAGAAGTTCGGTAAATTCTTTATAATTTTGCAGTGTTGCATAATGAAGAGCGATTTTCCCAACTATATCTTTTTCATTGATATTTGCACCATGTGAAATAAGAAGTTTGGCCGTTTCTTTTCTATTAGAACGTGCTGCATTTTGAAGAGCCGTTCTTCCAACTTTATCTTTTTCATTAATATTTGCACCGTGTGAAATAAGATACTCAACTATTTTTATATTATTGTTCTGTGATGCATAATGAAGAGCCGTTCTTCCAAATTTATCTTTTTCATTAATATTTGCACCATGTGAAAGGAAATATTCGCAAAAGGATGGAATATCAAACCATGCTGAATAAATAAAACATATGTTAAAATCATTAGTTTGATCGAAAAAAACTAAAAATGATTCAAGATTATTATATGCTCCGCAATCATATAAATTGATCGTTATATTGTATTCGTTCATCAAGAATGTAACAAAATCAATGTTGTGTGAAATAATTGCAAAATTCATGCATGCTTCATCTGGTGTTTGATATTTCAAACATTCACTAATGATCTCTTGACACATATAAGTTATTTCTAAGTTAAATTTCGTTCTTAATAATTTGAAACAATCAACTGCTCCATAGTAACAACATAATTCAAGTAATGAACATTTACCTGGGCAAGCAAGATATGAAAGGCCTATAAACCTATGATCTATATCAAAATCATCTCTTTCAGTTAAATAGATGAATTTTACTTTGTCATTATGCATAATTGCTCTGTGAATCGCATTTTCTGGATGAATTTTGAGATTTTCAAAATTAATAATACCATATTCTTTATAAAACGGTAAATTTGAAATAAGTTCAACTTTGTGATACCATATTCATCAGAAATGAGTTTGACAATATATAAATATGATTTTGAATAGCGATATTTATACGGGATGATTTTTAAAATATCTCGTATAATATTTTGGGGAGGATATTTCCTTGAATCAATCAATCCTGTTTTGATCATTTTGTAAATCGAGTTTAAATCTTCTTTTTTTCTGTTTTCAACTGATACAATACATTATATGAATCGATATAGTATTTATAGGTACTTCGCAATTCACTGTATTTATTTTGGTGAATGTCTTGAGCAGACATGAAAAAAAATGAAATTTAAAAATTACCAAAAAATTTAATTTTACCATCAAAAAATATGGAATTTTCCATTTAAAATATCTTTAAAAATCATTAGGATAAAAATACCTTGCTATACATATGGGGAACAAAGACCACAACATTTCAACGTTTTCCATAGTGGTGGTAAAATCGAAGAAAACGTTGAAATTCGGAGAAAATCTGACATCAATTTTTTCCCCGGGTCATTTTTCTTATTTAACTCAATCTGTTATTTGAAAAAGTGTGTTATTATGCAAGAAGATATACTGCATTATATGTAAAAATGCATGTGCTTAATTAAAATGTGTTTTTACTAATTTGGTGTAAATATCTTGAATTTCTGATTGCAAAAAAATCTCAAAAGCAGAGGCTGTAAGAGATGCAGGAATATTCTTTGCAATATGAAAGCTATTAATACCCTGCTTTTGTCACCCCATAGTTGCTCTGTGGGTCTCTGTATTGGGACAAAATCTCAAGTTTCAACAGTTTACGAAGTAACCAGCGAGAGTAATATCTCAGATCAGAGAAATACAATAATAAATAGATATAATATCTTAAATGAATTATAATTGTTGTAGATATTATACTGGTATTATAGCTATGTATAGAGTTATAATGAGTAAAATGAACATTTGCATGAGCATTCTTTGATGCAGACAAGTCCATGGTTGATCTGGGTTGCAACATGCGGCCATATATACTATAATATATTAGTGTACATAATATATGAATTACTATGTTTCAGTCTAGAATTGTAACTTCTGACGGTAACTATTTTTTTCATTATTTGTGAACAAAAAAAAATTAATTCATTTGTTTCTGACACTATTCGCACAGACATTTGTAATGGGAACATTCAGAAGGTAGTGTTATAACACAATTGTTCCATATCTACCATTATAACAGCTTAGAAATGAACTTTCTCCATTGAAATTATTGATTTATTCAAATTTGTTATATAATTTTTGAAAATATGCAATATATAGATGTTGGCTTAAAGGTTATGTGAAAATCAATATCGCCGCAACAGCAATGATGTATATGTTGATTAGAGTCTAGCATACTGTGAAATTTTTGTATTAAGTTCAGATCTATAATCTATTGCTCATATATTGCCATTAAATTAAGGGTGCACTTATCACTTTTTGACATTCTCTCAATTTTTTTGACATTCTAGTTTTTTTATCCAAATTTTCTAAGGTAAAAAAGGTTATTAACTTTGATCGGGATGAAGTTATTTTAAATCACCACTTAGTACTTTATATTACTGTTATACTTTTTTGCAATCACAATATAGATATTTTGATATTATGGGAGCATGTCAGAAAGTGGTAAGTGCACCCTTAAAAATGAAGTGAAAAAATTATTTTTTTACTGATCAATTGGGAAAATTGCTTCTGTGGCAATACCACACATATTTTCCTTATCTTTGGCAATTCTGATATATCCCTTCTCTCCCCAAGCAGATCCCCACGAGTTTCTAACAATCCAGTAGTTCTTTCCGCTTTCAGAACCGTATCCGACAACTCCAACACCATGATCGAGGCTCCACATCGAACAGGCCGAGTCTTCATAGATACCGCCTGAGTATAGATGGAATGAAGCAAGAGATGCATCAATACCAACAGATGCTGGACCAATAGAAGAGATTTTTCTGGCAAGATCATCTTCATTTCCTAAATCTGCCCATTCGTACCTGGAAATCTGTGATACAGCTTTGGATGCATCAAATTTGCATACACCATCTCTAGCTGTATATGGGTAATCTGTTTCTAGCATGAATTTTCCTTTCTGATTTTGAATAACGTAATCGTAGGACATGTACATCTCTCCACCGTTGCATCCGTGACATTTCTTGACACAATCAACAAGATTTTGCTCCGAAAGCTTCCATAACTGGGTAAAAACAATTGCATATTGAGATTCTTGAGCTTGAATCGCAGAAAAGGCCCAGCAAGATCCACATGCACCTTGATTCTGTACCTCGTTAACAACACATTTCTTTCTCCAATCAATTTGATCAGCAGCAACAGCATTTGATTTTGTAACTTTTCTTTCAACTTTACTAGAGCGATATCCGAGAAGAGAACGATATTCTGTTGGAGTTAAATGTGCTAATCTGTTCATAGCGAGTGTAAAACCGAAGTTTGCAGCATTATGTTCTTGAACATATCTTTTATTTGATAACCAAACGCCAAAGCGGAAGTTGTATTCATCTCCAGTAAAAATATTGCCAGTTTCACGCATCCAACCTAGAAAAGACCTTTCTTCATGACTTTGAATAAACATTATTTTTTTATAAGAAAATGTAAATTATTCAATTTTGAAAATTTTGACAACGTAAAACAAATATACCTGTAATAATAAATTATTCAAAAATATATAAATAAAATCCATTCAATCAAATTCAATGCAATTTTCTCAAATTGTTGGCAGTTTGGAATTTTTCAAATTAATTATATTCCATAATCAAACCATTTTTAACTTTTTTAAATTTTTACCACTTTTTATGAGTAAAGAAAATTTAATTTGTATTACCCAGATTTTCCTTACTTTTACCACCTCTCTAAAGCTGGGGACACCGCCTATCGTTGGGAGTAGCTATTAAATAGAACCACCAAGGGTATTTTTCGAACTGCCGGTGTATTGTAGTGTAAACATCCTACATAATAATTCATTATGCCAAGGTTTGATTCTCATTTAGCTAATTTTTTTCTTTTTTGGATCATGAATTTTTTTTGGGTCACTATAAGATTTGTTTCATGTTCTAAATCTGCTGCATATGTAATCTATTTTTATTTACCTATTTTTTAAAAATCTATTGGATTGCCAAATTTGAATATATTTAAAATCATAAAAATCCAAAAAAACTATAAATATATGTTTTATGCATAGTGCCGATACTCAAATATCAGATTACTTAGATCCATGAATAATATCCGAATTTTTTTTCTTAAAATTAAACTTCAAAACTTCTTCCAATCTTATTCTTCATCTATTGTAAATTTTTAAACCATTTTTTAAAATAATTTTGCGTAAATTTTATTCTCATGTTGTTTTAATCGAAAATTGATACATTTTCAAAAAAATAATATTGACTTATGAAATTCATTTTTAAGGTGAAATAGTATTGTTTTTATTAAAGTATATGAATAATATATAAAAAATTAATGAATAATATAAGCAGATTTTTAGTTTACAAAACAAATATGAGCAATGCAATTTCAAACTTTTGCTGGCAATTTCGATATTGCTCAAGTTTGTAGTATTTGTGATACCTATAACATCGGCTTAATCAAAATTCGATTTTTCTTATGAGTTATTGAGAAAATTTGATTGCAATGAGAAGGATTTCGACGTTTTTGATAAACTAAGAGCTGAGCTTTAGGGGTTCAGTTCATTTATGGCTGTAGTTTGATGCGTAGATCTCTTTTTTATTGTAAATTCTTTCAGCATGGAGATCGAGAATGAATCTTTTGAGAACTTTATGAGTTTTTACACCCGTAAAGAGGTCCTTCGAGGAAAGATAGTCCAGACTACATGAAGATGTGGGTTAACCAAAAAAATCCGATGGTTTCCCCATATTCATGTAGATCTTCGAAAAAATGAGCACCAAAAAAGCCAAAAAAATAGGCTTTTTATTGGATTTGTACACTAGATCAATAACCTATTTAGGATCTGACACTCTTTTTAGCCAGAGATATGAGGTCCTTTCTAGGAAAACGATCTATTCATCCATAAAAAAATGAATTATCGTTTTCCCCAGAAATTACATGGGGAGTGGTAAAAGTAAGGAAAATCTGGGTAAATGAATTCTCATTATATTTCCTTAGATCTTGGCAATAAATTCTCTGTAGCAGCAGCACCTCGTGAAAATGGTGTTGATATACTCCAAAGTGAAACATTTGAACGCTTAATTCCATCCGTTTTAGGTTTTACGGATAGAAGATTACATTTTGGACAAATGGCCGCAGATTATCAAAATCAAAATCTCGATGGAACAATTACAAACACAAAATCATTAATAGGCTTAAAATGGGACTCCGAAAATCGTAAAAAATTTGAAAAAACAATTACATACAAACTTGTCCAAATAGAAAATGGATTTACAGGTGTTGCAATACCTTTTGATGGGTCAACCATCACATTCAGACCGGCGCAATTAGTTGCTTTCATAATAAAATTACTTCTTCGAAACAAAGATACGAGAAGGATGAAACTTTTGTTTGTTACTGAACCATTTTGGGGTGACATTGAACGAAAAATCATTCTTGCGGGCGCAGATATTGCTGGATTCAAAGTTCAGAGCATGGTCAATTCAACTACGGCTTCTGTGGTCAAGTTTTGCCATGAACATCCGAAATTTATACCTGAAGATCCAAAGGAGTCTCAGACAATCTGCTTCGTTGACTTCGGCGATTCTTCAATTACAATTACAATTGCGGAAATTACAAAAGGATCCATTAAAATCCTGAACCACGTATTCGAAGAAAATCTTGGCGGTCGCGACTTTACACTTCTGTTTACGGATTACTTAATTGAGAAAGCTGAAGAAAAATATCATCTTAATTTTAACGAAATCGATACAAGATCGATACAAAGATTCAAGAGGGCTGCTGAAAAGATCAAATGCGCTCTTTCTGTCAACAAATCAATGAAGTTTGAAGTACCTTCAATAGGAGAAAAAGATATTTCAATAATTGTACAGAGAACTGACTTCGAAACTGCAGTCTCTCCACTTCTAAAGACATTAGATGCCATTGCACGTGAAGCAAAAAGGAATAATCCAAATATTTCCTTCATTGAATTTTATGGCGGAGCTTCTCGGCCTCCTTGCGTCAAGGAAATCTTCCAGAAAGTGTTTGAATGCGATGTTCGACAGTCCCTTAATGCTGACGAGTGCATCGTGGCCGGTGCAGCCCATTTTTCTGTTTCAAAAGATTTAATTGTCACTGACATCACATGTTATCCAACATACATCACTTACAAACTTCCTTCTGATGCAATGTTTAATGACATTCTCTTCAAATCAGGTACGAAATACGGAGAAAAGAAGTCAATAGTCGTTTGTACAGTTGGAGATGTGACAATTTATGGAAATAATGGCGATATAATGAAGATATCATTCGAACAGAAGGAAGTTACGAAGATTAAGCTTGATTTTGAGATAAATGAGTGTGGAATTATCGAATTAGTCTCTACAACATCACAAGTATCAGGACAACCTATTAAATACAATGTTATGGTACATGATAAACTCAGTTCTGATCAAATTGACGCTTTCCGACTCCTGATGACCGAAATTGAACTTCGGAATGAAGAAGGAGTCCTTTCAGAGCGTCTCAAAGGAGAACTGGAAGTTGCTCTGATGAATGTTGAGGGAGGAAAGGTCAAAGAATGGTTCGAAGAGAACGAAGGGTACTTAATGAGTTCTTTCCAGTACCAGGACGCTCTGAATGAACTTTCTGGAAAGAAATCAAATGCAAAACAAGAAGAATTCAGAACAAAAATTGATAAAATAATGGGAAAAATCAGCAAATTAGATGACCAGAAGACTCGCGCTCTACTGTATGATATAATCAAGAAGACAGAAGCTCATGCAATATTATAAAATATATTATTTGTTATAATAAAAAAAAGTTTAATTATTTGTAAATTTGACTTATTTAACGACTTCAAATACTAAAAGATGGAATGTTAGATTATCTAACAGTTATTAAATGGGAAAAGTGCTTAATATGCATTATTATCCCATAATCAAATTAGAAACTTGTGAAAGTGGTGTAGATCAATCAGTACATATCAAAAGAATGGAGTTTAAACATACTTCTTACAGCAGGAAGTGAATATTTAAATACTTCCATCACTATTAGTCACAATTATTGATTATATTAATTAATTTCTGGGAAATTTTTCTTATGTATTGAAACAGTAGATATGAACCTTCTAATACAGGGTGATTTTCAATGCCCTGGATAAAAATAATTTCAATTAAGCAAAAACAAAAAATAATTTTTATTCACTTCTTAGATATAACAGCAATAATTGCGGCAATTCTGTCGTTGAGGTCTCCGCCATTTCCTTTGAGCTGAAGTTTATCTTCGATCTTTTTGACGGCAGCAGAGTAATTGTCAAGGTCTCTCTTGACTCTTTCTGATTCCTTTTCAACTCTATTTGCTTCTTCTTCAATGTTTTCAATATCTCCATCTTCAATTGATTTAATTACTGTTGACAAAGCGTTTTCTCTCGCCTGAACACTAACCATTGACTGAGAAACACTATCTTTGATGTTGTGGGCGAGTTCCGATCCTTCTGTTCCTTTTGTGAATGAATCAATTTTACATTGAACTTCAGAAATTTCGGCTCGCTTCAACAATGCTTCGGCCCAAACAATTGGGACCGGACGTGTGTCCTGAGCGAGAGGTTCTGAAGTAATGATTTTCTGCAATCTTCTGATCGCTCTTTGGTATTTTTTGCCTTGTTCGGCATTGATCTCTTCTAATGCATATGTTGAAGCCATCTCAGTGCGGGCAGCTAGTAATTTGTCCTTTATCTTGTAGTTTTCTTCAATCAATTCTTCAATTTTGTCAAAAGAAGCCTTATTTTTATCAGCCATTAACTGCAAACGATCTAATGGGTCCTCGACAGGCGGAAGATTTGGTGATTGGCCTTTGAATCTCTGTTGGAAATTTCGATAATTATTTGTAACGAATTGAATCGATTCCAACTGGTGTTCTTGTGAAGATGTTGACTTAATAAGTTCCAAATATCGTGTATACGATGTCTTCACTTCAGGTGAAAGTGAATTTGATTTAACTTGTATGAGAGCTCTCTGATAAATGATATCAGTCTGTATTGTTTTGAGCTGATTCCTTAATTCCTCGAATTTCTTCTGGTTTTCTTTGTACTGTTGCTTTGTATTTGATTCATCGTATTTTGCTAACTCGGATTCCTTTTCTTGGACTTCCTTTTCGAGCTGCTTGATCCTCTTTGCTTGGTTCTCAGGAGAATTTCCGGAACTGGACAAATTCTTGATTTCTTTTTGAATTTCTTTTTTCTCGTTCTCCCATTCTTCAGAGCGCCTTGTAATCTCGTTTATCTTCGACTCCTTGTAACTTAGTTTCTCCTGGAGCTCCGAATCAAGCTGGGATTTTTGTTCTTCGAGTTCTTGAATAATTCCTTTCAAATCACTGATTTTTGAGGCTTCTTCGTCATTCATGTTGTCGCCCTTCTCCGATTTGTACCTGGCCTGCAATCTATTCGATGGGTCTCCGATCAAATTCTTTATTGAATCTTCGATCTTTTGGATTTCACTGCTTGCTTGCTCTGTAACAATCGATGGGTCCATAAACATCTTTAATGATGTAATTGTGTCTTTAATCGGTGCCAAAACCATAGAAACAATTTGAGCTTTTGAAAATTGAGTATCTGTAAATTGTGGATCGAATGGTTCGCTAAAGAATCTGTCGTGCTCAACAGGAAGCATGTCTTGGAAGCTCTCGAGCTGAATAATAATGAACTGGAGGTCGCGAATAAAAAGTTTCAGTTCGTTGTGCCTTTTGAGCTTGGTATCAATGATCTTTTGCATTTGGTTGAACTCGTTCATTAATTCTTTGAACTTAGGATGATAAAATTTCTTAAATTTATTTCTATGATTGTTTCGAATTTCGGAAATTTCTTGTGAGAATTTGTTGAAATTGTCGTGACACATTTGTATGACTTTTTCTGGTGCTCTGGAATCTTTATATTCTTCCTTTGCCGATTCAACGTCATCTAAAAATTTTGTTTTGAATTCAAACCAGGAATTCCAGAAATCATTCTTATCATTAACTTTAGCTTTGAGTTTTCTGTAAATTTCGAAGTATTCTAATTGATTTGCCGAATCATCAAGTAAAAACGGATTAAGTTTAGCGGCAAACGTTGAAATCAAGTTTGCCAAGCGCTTTTCCTTTGGTATATTTGCGTTTTTTGTTGGTAATAATGGATTTAATCGTTCATATGTTGACATTTTTGATGCTTTCGATTTGGCGCGCATTGGCTTGTAAGTTAAAGTACCTACCATATGCGGCTGTTGTACCATCGATCTAACACCAAGAGATTTACGTGATGCGGTACTTGCAGCACGAGGAGTGGATAAATGGGATTTAGACATTATATAATTTATTAAAAAAGTAAGGAAAAATCAAAATATTGAAACTAATGTGTATGAATTTTCTAATAGTTAATTCCTTGCAATTCTGAGAGTGATGATGTAAACATTTTTTGAGAGAATTTGTAAATTCCGTCACTCGGTATTGTATTGCTATGCTTATACTAAATTTTGTTTTTGCTCGATTTGAATTTTTCTATCAAAATATGTCAGTTTTTCGAAATAGGAAAAAATGCAAAAATTTATAATCAAGTTTTCTTAGAAATTAAATCGAATTTGCACAAAGCAAGTGGAGGTCAATATCTATAATAGACGCATACGGATCTACTGATGCATTCCCCTTGCTGGAAAAACAACAGATTTGACTTCCTTTATGATGGTTTCATTTTTCAGTTTTTTTCAGTTTTTTTTTTTTTTTTTGAAATGCTTTCGATTGCTGAATTTTAGATGAATTCACCAATGGATCGAATTTAAATTAATAAGACAAAACCCTATCAAATTAAGTATCGCTAAATTAAAGTCAAAAATAAATATTGCTTCATCAATAATCTTTTTTCGATTTAAAAAAAAAAAAAAAAAAAAAAAAGGTAGTGGGGCTTCCAGGCACTTCGTGCCTTCTAGCCCTGATGATGTTTAATATAAATGAAGTTGATATTCGGAGGACTCTTCTTCTTCCTCCTTGCTTCTGGGAAGAAGTCTTCTTCTGGGTCGAAAACATTATATAATGTGTCGCTTTTCACAAATTATATATGTTTTCATGTTTTGTCAAACATGAACGTAAATGTTTTGTCAAGACTTCTTCGTAATGAGTGTAAAGGACCCAAAAATATAATTTAGGTGAAGAGGTGAGATCTCACCTGTTTTCTCACCTCTTTTCTCACCTCATGAATTTGTCATGATTTCATCGTAAATGTTTTGTCACTTTTCTGTCACTTTTCAGGTAAAAAACATTTTTATATATATATAAATGAATTTTACAAAACCACCGTTACCGTTCTTTGGAAATAAGAGTAGATGTAAAGATATTATATTGAGAGAACTTAAGAAACTACCGAATGGTCTAACATTTGTAGATTTGTTCGGTGGAAGTTTCTATATATCCCATTTATGTCATATAATATTCCCAGACTCAAAGATTATATGCAATGACTTCGACAACTATATGGACCGTCTCAAACATATTCCAGACACAAACAACATATTGAAAGAGTTAAAAGAAAAGATACCTATAGGTAAGATGGAACGTATACCATTAGATAACAAAAATATTGTGAGAGAGGTTTTGAAAAAAGCAGAATATATAGACTGGGATAGTATATCTGCTAGACTATTATATAGTGGTTCTATAAGAGTTCATGACATTGAAACACTTATGTCAAAAGTTTTATATCTTAACTATACAAATGTTTTCAAAGAGGACATAGAAAAATATATTGAGGGTATAGAGTTTGTGAGATGTCATTGGACAGATTTGTATGAAAAATAAAGTTTAGGTGAAGAGGTGAGATCTCACCTGTTTTCTCACCTCTTTTTTCACCTCTTGAATTTTCAAGACTTCTTCGTAAATGTTTTGTCAAGACTTCTTCGTAATGAGTGTAAAGGACCCAAAAATATAAAGACAAGGAAAATGTTTTCTTTATAGTGGACCCGCCGTTCTTTAACACATGGGATTTTCAATACCAAGTAGACTGGACTTTGTGCTGAACAAAAAGTGTCATACAAACATCTGTCAAAAACCGCTTTTTAACTTCACTTAAAATGCCACGTAAGCTACGTAAGAATATACGTAAGAGGAAGGGAGCATTGAAACATCCAATAGTAAAACTGACACCACAACAACAGTTGCAACAACAAATTATGAATGACCCCACTATGTTGCAACAAATGTCAAGCAACCCTATGCTTTTAAACCGAGTTATTGGTGCACAGAGTGGAGGTTTAAGAGCGGCACTTTTAGCGAAAATGGCAGGCTATGGTGGAGCTGCAGACGGAACAGCTTATAACCCTCAAAGTCAAATGAATTTGAGTTCACTCAAAAATCAAATAACAGATGTCAAAAAGTCAAACATAGACATACAGAAACAAATAAGTGAAAACGAAAAGAAACTAGAATATGACAGACACACAAAGAAACTCAATGAGTTAAACGTAGAGAAAAAGAAGAAAGAAGAACAACTGAAAGAACTAAGTACAGAGGAATATGCGAAAAAAGTGTCAGAAAAAGCAGCAGAAGTAGCAAAAATGGAACAAGATGTTATAAATTTGAAAAACCATACTACTCAATATAAAGTACTGAAAGATGAAGAAATAAAACAAAAAGCCCTGAAGACATATATGGATAGCGATGAGTATAAAAAAGAAGTTGAAGCAAATGTAAAGGCAGAAAAACTTTTACAGTTGCAAAACCAAACCGTACAGTATGAAAACTTAGCACAAGAAAGTAAAAATAACGACGCAGCCATGCAAAAGGCAATGAAAAGCGCAGAATATATAAAAGCTAATAATGACTGGTTAGATGCCCAAGCCAACGCTAAAGCAGCCCAACTTATAGGGTCAATAAGGACAAAAATACAAGCGGATGAAGACAGTTCAAATGAAGCTTTAATGAATGCTGACTTTAAGAACGCCTTCGAAGCTCTTCATAGTAAGGTGAAACTAGTGAACGACTTCTCATCTGGAAAGAAACTGAAGTCTGAAGGTTTCGACAACGAGTTAAGAGAAGTAGCACAAAATATGACGAAAATAACAGATGCAGCAACGAGACAGGCAGTTCAAAGTGCCTATGACGCCGTTAGAGCAACTGTTGTGGAAAGTCAAGAAAAAGAGTTACAACAGACCAAAACAGACCTAGTAAATGCTTTCTTAAAAACGAAAAGTCAGGTAGGACATTATGCTGCAGATGGAACATATGTGCCAGCTGGTGGAACTTATATACCACCAGATGAGGTACAAGAAACTCAACAGGAAGAAGTTCAGATACAACCAGACATGGAAGAAATAGTTCAGCAACAACAGCTAGAAGAGCCTGAAGGAAACGAACAAGTCCCTCCTTTGGAAACTACAGAAATAAATGACGCAAGACTGAAACATTGGGTAAAAGCTTTCCCATTCACAAAAGATATTATTGGTAACATGGAAAGAAAACCAGAATGGCTACAAAAACATATATTTGGAAACGAGCATATTCCATATGGACAAGCTCTGTTTGAAGAGCTTGAACCGGAAACTCAGGAAAGAGTCATGCAAACAATACGCGAAGACTCAAATACAAACTATGACAAAATCTTTCTAGGATATAGGTTACCTGAGATGGGCGACCAGAGCCCAAAGGCAAAAAGGACACGTGAAATTTACAACATACTAGGTGAACATGAGGCAAAGATGCAACAACTTGAAGCAGAGGGCAAGTTACCAAAAGCGACACCAAAGAAGAAGAGTAGAACAAAGTGAAAGTAGTGAAGAAGTAACTTCATCTAGTGAAAGTATGGCAATGAAGGAAAAAGAAGAGTTAAAAACTCAGTCAGGAAGAAAGTAAAGCTTGTCCGAGTGGGTTCTATTATGATATATAAATCCAACTATTCTATATTTTTACCCATATGAAATGTACGCCGCTCAGAATATAACGCCAACAGTTTTGGATGCCATGAACGGAAATGTTTCCGAATGGTATAACGAATGCGACAATGCCATTAGAAGGTCAGAAATAGTTCCTGGAACTTACGAATATACAACTGCTGTTTCTTATGGAAACGTAGGTGAGTTTGGAGAAGGTTCTTCAACAACAGTAGATATTGCTTGCGACAGGTTTCATATTATTTCTATTGACAACTCATTCTTATACGTGGAACAAGACATTGAAATAAAGCCTTCTGCCAAGTTGTCTGACAAGAAAGGTTGCAATGGAATTTTCTATGTCGGATACCAATATGCTCCAGAAGTTTTCATGGGATATAAGATATATTCTAACTCTGACTTAGTTCAAACAGTAACATGGGCAAACTATGAATGGTTCGCTTTGAGAAACTCAGTACAACCACAAGCTAGAGAACAAACAGACCAGTATGCAAATATTGAGAAAATAAGAAGACTTGACCCTAACGTTCCAGGAGTTTATGTTAACCTTTCTGGTTCAGATGGAACTGCTGCCACTAAAGTAAAACTGAAACTTAGAGTTCCTTTGTCATCTTTCCTCATCTTCAGGTTTTTAAGATACTTGCCAAACTGGGCAGGAAAAATTTCTATCGAACTTACTCCAAGCAAAAATAACTTAGTCATTGCACCAACACAAGACCCATTCAGCATTACTGTAGCTGGAACTGGTGGAGCCAAGTTCTGTGACTTTTGCAAAGACAAAGTTGACTTAGACTTTGGTTTCTCAAACTTCAACAATGAAGTAAACTATTATTTCAATGCTGCTGGAACTGCTTGGGACCCAGTTAAGTTTACATGCGAAAAATTTGAATGCAAGAGAATAGAAAGCAGACTTGCAGTCTATATGTTGGACCCAGATATTTCAAATGCTTTAGCTGCCAAATATATTGCAGTTCCACTTATGTTCCCTATACACCAAATATCTGTCAAAGACTTTGCAGGTGAAGTTGGAAACCAAAGTGCTGACCCAGGTGCAAGAACAGATATTGCTTTAACAACTGCAATGAAACATGCAGATACTATGTTTGTACTGTTCAGACGAACTATAAATGACTATTCTTGTTTCTACAACCCCGGTATTAAATATCATATAAACATAGATGGCAAATATTATCCAAGAGAAGAATATTCTACAGTTGAGGATATGAGGTCATACAACTTGACATTAGATGCTATGAACTTTAACAACAACTTCACAACAACCATTAACCCTGAAATGCAAAGTTCTATTATGCCATATGTGAAAGTATGGACTCATACAGGAGGTCAAAAAACTCAATATACAAATGGAGACCGTTCAAACTTTTGGCTTGGCATTCCATTTGCTGACTCAGAAGACTTTATGGGTGGTATTTCAACTGTTGGTACTGTACAAATACAATATACTGGTGACAGAGACGGTCCAGATGAACTGAGAGCAAAGAAGTTTACAAAACCAATAGCACTTTTCACGGAAGATGCTCTTTTGAAGATTCGTTCGATGAAACCTGCTGGGGCTCCTCAGATTGGCATAACGACAGCTTCCATCGAGCAGATTTTGGCAGCAGGTCAGTAAGTTGTTCTTGAACTGACTTCTCTCCGTCAAATATTGACAGTACGCCAGTTTTGACATAATATTGTAAGATAAACTTTCCTTTAGAAATATCTGTAAGTTTTGAAGTTATATTTTTGTCAACGTCAAGAACTTTCACCATTTCAGTTATACCAACTTTCTTTGCTTTATGAAAATATTTTGGTTCAGCAAAGACTGCTATTCTATAACATTTTCCATTGTTTGTGTAAAGAACTATTCTGTCAATGTATTTGTATTGTTTGTGTGTGTAAACTTTGTTCTGCTTCAATTCGAAGAGATACTCGAATACGTCCATCTTTTTATTCTAAGTAAAATGTCATTTCCGAAAAATAGAAGCGTGAGTGTTTCAAAAGGTTTAATGGCGGTGGCAGATGTGAAGTTAAATTCACCAACTCAAACAAACAGTCAAAGTGTTGTTGTCAATGTCAAAGACAGAGATGTTGAAGTGGGGAAACCATACGAGGACGAAGATGGTATAACAATTGTTCCTGTAAAAGAACAACCAACATATCCTGAAGTTAGCAGAGACTTAAGTTCTGTTGCAGATATTCGAAACGACTACCAACAACTGAAAGACAAACTTCAAACTCAGGAGAAGATTTGTCAAGCTTTAAGTATAATGTTAAACTTGGTCGAACACAACCCTGTAAAAGTGAACTCATATGTCATTGCACCTCATGAAGTTTTGAAAGAACTATTGAAACTTTTGACAGAGGCAGACGATATAAACATCAAAGAAATAGAACCCGACATTAGTTGCTGTGGTGTTTCATATAATGTCATTGACAAGATATACGTTATGAAAGGAGGTGAAACGTTGAACTTAAAGTATAGTTTCCCAGACGTCATAAAAATATTTGACGACCACAACATTTCATTAAAGTTTATTTGCTAAGTAAAAATGTCAAAACTTCTTGAAAGATGTTTGAAGAAAAATAATATAGACTTTATTTCATGTAAAGGACTTTACACACTTTTGAACGATATGAAAGACCCTGTTTTGTTTGTTCGTGTAGACAAAGGAAAGTTCTATGTCTTTACAAAATATTTGAACTTCTTAGACAGAGAACTTCAAGAAACGCCATGTGAAAGTTTAGATGAAGTTCTTCTCCACTTTCAGAAAAACTTTTAAATATATATAAATGGCAGAAGATATAATGGTTTATACTATTACGACTAAAAACCCTGAGTCATATAATTCTATAACAACAAACTTACAAAGTCCTCAAGGACGATATTGTAAACTAACCTTAAACACAATGACGACTAAAGCCTGTTTTGCTCTTTTGACACCAGAAGACTTTATTGTTGTGAATGGTAAAAAATACTCCTTTGAAGATACTTACTCAGATATACCACCAACAGGTTTTGTTGACTTATTTAATACTTTAAGGACGGGTGTAACATGTGCTGCAACTAGAGCAGGTTTCATTATGTTTGGATGTCCGACTGAGTTTACTATAAACGATATGAGCTATAATACAAAACTTATTTCTGGTTTTTACTACCAACAGTTTCCTATAACAGGAAAAGGTGTCATACAAGGAATGTCTATTCCATTGACATTAAGCACACCAATCTTATATATTGTTTCAAACTTAGGTTCAAAGTGTTATTCGAATGTCGACAGAAACTATTATGACCAAAAGATACTTATGCGTATAAACAATACTTTCTCTGCTGGTTTGCCTATTGTTCATTCGAATGCAGAATTTTCAACCTTAGTGAACTCAAACACTTTGGCAAGTATAACGTTGACATTAGTTGACGCAAACTTTGTTCCTGTAAAACTTTTATGTCCTATGTATTTGTCAATGACGGCAGAAAGTTTCGAATTGGAAGATGCAACTGGTGAAAGTATTGTATTACAAGAACAACTTCAACAACAAATAGCTCAAGAACAACAAATGCAACAAATGCAACAACAAAGTCAAGAATAAAAAAAATATTTTTTTTATTTTTATAAAAATGTACAGAATAGATGTTTCAGATTTTTATGACTTCCAAGCATTCAGAAATATGTGTCCATTTCGAGACTATAACAAAGCAGTCGAGAATTGAAACGTTTAGTCATTTATGTTGACTCTGCCCCAGAATGTTATGTCATGAAAGAATGGGATGTAGTCTTTAACAAACCAAGAGCAACAATAGTTTCAGAACAAGAATGTAGACAGAAACTTAAGAAAATAAAAGTCGTACAAGTTGGCATGAAGATGTTAGATGCTTGGGATATCTTATTGTCAAAGTTAGAAGATTTTTCAGTTCGAGGTATAAAGTTCTATACACCTTCTCCAAACTTCTATTCTATCTTCACTGGATATAAATACGAACAAGTAGAATGGAAAGAAAATATTATAGAAGCTTGGTTAGACCATGTCAAAGAAATTATATGCAATGGAAACGAAAAGGTTTATGAGTATATCTTATGTTGGTTTGCAAACATCTTACAACATCCAAGTGCTAAAAATGAAACTGCTCTCATTATAATTGGAAAACAAGGAACAGGTAAGAACACATTCTTTACAGATATCTTATGCAAACTGTTAGAGGGCTATTCGAATCCGAATATGACAAACTTAGAAAACATCTGTGGCAAGTTTAACTCTTCAATAGAGAATATGAAACTTATAGTATGTAACGAACTTCAAAGTATAGATACAACAAAAGTTTTGAACTCAGATGCTTTGAAGAGTCTTATAACAGACAAAGTTGGAGTTGTTGAAAGAAAATATAAAGACCAAAGAGTTTGTGAAAATGTTGCAAACTTCATTATGGTTTCAAACAATGCTGTTCCGATGAAGTTAGAAAGTTCTGACAGAAGATATGTAGTTGTCAGAACGTCAGATTCTCATATGCAAGATACAGAATATTTTGACGACTTAGCAGAAACTTTAACATCTGACTTTTACAACCACTTGTTCTCATATTTTATGACATTAGATATTTCTAAGTTCAATCCAAGACAAATTCCACATACCGAAGAGAGACAAACATTGTTAGAAGCAAACAAGAGTGTATATGAACTGTTCATAGATGAAACTGACTTTGTGTCATTAGATGAAAGGTCATTGTACGATTCGTATAAACAATATTGTCAAGAATATGGTTATATGACAGCGTCTAAACGTACATTCTTGGCAAATGTCAAAAGTCTTTTAGATGTTCAGAATGGTGTATATACAAAGAAAAATTTTTATGAGTAAATTTAAAAAAAAATAATTTTTTATCCGATAGAAAAGATGACAAAATTCATCTCAGTAAACAAGTACATGTCAGGACTTAAAGAAGAACTAGACCCATTCACATATTTGAATGTTTACTTCTACCATTTTGAAAGTCTTCATTCAGCAAAGTTTGGAACATCGAACCAGTTAAGTTTGCTATTGTGACTAAAAATGGTGCGAAATTTGAAGACTTAGACATAGAAGGTTTGTTAGCAGTCAAAGAAAATTTTGACAGAAGGTTCTCAAACCTTAAAGAAGGCAAAGCATACAAACTTGTTATACCTTATGAACCAAAGAAAGCAGACGACTATGAATATTATGAGTCTAAGATAGTTGAAGTTCAAGGTAAATTGGGTAAAAAGATTTTAGAGTCTAAGCCAGTGTTTACTCCTAAAGAGGAAGAGAACATTGACATTGACCCAGAAATGTTCTAAAAATAAAATTTTATTTTTACATGTCAAATTTCTTTTTTCTCTGGAACTGGTTCAGGTTCTTTCTTCTCTTCTTCTACTTTCTTTTCTTTTCTTTTCTTTTCTTTCTTCTTTCTTTTCTGGTGGAGTTATGTCAAATTTCTCCGAACCATATTTCTGTAAAAGTTCTTTGTCCTTTAATAGCTCATCTATTCTGTTTTCTATTTCATCTTCAAAGAACAGCGCATGTGTCTTCTTTGCATTCTAAGAAGTTTTGTTGGACTTCATCTCTCCAAGAGGCGTCATCTCTGTCAACAAGTCTGTCATTGACAAACTTAAAGACTTCTCTGCCTAATGTTTTATGGTTCTTGTCATATTCCCAGAAACAGAACTTTAGAACAAATTCACCTTTCTTGTTTACACTATGTAAGATTTTATGGTCGACAGATGTTTTGCTGTCGAAAAGCTGTCTCGAATATAGATAGCGAAATCGCTAGACATTTTCTAAAAGATAAAATTTTAATTTTTCTAAAAATATGTTAGAAAAAAGTTTGCTGACATTGACAAGAAATTTGAGAATGTTTTTAAACAAGAACAAGAGGAAGTTAGAAAATGCTCAGATAAAGCCTATACATGAAAAGTTCTTATTTGCTCAGAATGGTATAACAGGTCTAATTGCACCACCGGGGTCGGGTAAGACTTTCACTTATCTTAAAATGGCTGCACAACAACAAGAACTAGATGAGAAGAACCCATTCTATGAGTTAGTTGTCATTTGTAGTACTTCTGGTCAATTTGACCAAACCGTCAATTCGTTCAAAGATATTATAAAGAAGTCTAAGTTAGTATGTATAAAAGACTCTGAGTTGTTAGATTGGATAAAGAAGTACCAAAGAAGAGTTTTGAAGTATAATGCTATAAATGAGTATATAAATTCTAAGTTTAAAGACCCAAATGAGGAAATGCAGAGAATATTAGAGAAGAACACTTCAGAAACAAACAGAAAGAGATAGAAT